ACCCTTTCGCGTCTAGCACCTGAGATTAGTGACTATTTTGCTACATATTACTAACGCTCGATATTTTCAATTCGAAATTTGTAAATTGAGGTTTGTTTACATGTTTTCTTATATATTACTACTTTGATTTTATTGAAGTTAGTTAGAAAAGACTTAACCAACCTCTTGAAATTCAATGTTTACAATCCATACATTCAAAAGTTCCAAATCCATATGAACTAAGCATGTCTCTTTATGAACATAATAGGGTATTTTGTAAAATTTCTAAAATAAGTTAAGAAGGCCAGGTTTGATCAACCTAACACTTATATATGTACTATATGCTACTAAAGTGAGTGTTTATTAGTGATTTCTATCAGTATAGTGAATCAAATCCAAAACTTTTGTATTTTTCTATAGTGACTACTCATTATCTGTCTCAACTTAGTCACACTTTGCGGGAACAAAGGTGTAGCAGATAAACAGATTCGTCTTAGAATTTCTTCACCTAATGTATTGGATATCACGCTTGTGGATCTCCCTGGTATAACCAAGGTGCCAGTTGGTGACCAGCCTACCGACATTGAAGCACGTATTAGAACGATGATCTTGTCTTACATCAAGTCAGCTACTTGTTTGATATTGGTTGTTACCCCTGCAAATACCGATTTAGCAAACTTTGATGCCCTTCAAATTGCTAGCATTGTAGATCCTGATGGTAAGTTCTGCTAACAAGTCCTATGACAAGAAAAAAATTTGATTATTTAATGGCTTGTATTGGACATTACTCATCTTCGCCCTTTCATGTATCTATATTGCTCCAGGTCACAGAACGATAGGTGTAATCACAAAGGTGCATATTCCCAGTCCAGACATTTGATTTATATCATTGTAGTTTAGCCGAAAAGATAGGCGTCCCTGTCTTTCATGTCTTTTACTATTTTTTTTTTATCATGTTTTCAGTTGGATATTATGGACAGAGGTACTGATGCTCGAAAGCTCCTACTTGGAAATGTTGTTCCTCTTCGACTTGGATACGTGGGAGTTGTAAATCGTTGCCAGGAGGTAAACCCGTGGTTTCTCCAACTATTATTTGTTTTTTTATTTGTTTTGCATAGTGACTTGAGCTAACTTGCTTCTGTTCTGTTCTTATTTTTCGATGCTATGGTGATATAACTTGCTTCTGTTCTGGTCTCCTACATGAGGAACAAAGATCCTAGCTTTGCAGAATTATTGGCTACTCAATAGCCAGAAGCAACCGCATCAGCCGCCGTAGCTTCTCAACCACCAACAACCGCAGTCATCATACCACCCAGCAGTCATCATACCACCCAGCACACAAACAGGCACCCTTCCAACAACCACAGAAGAAGCAATCCAACCAGCTGGACTCGCACCTACTAAAACCACATCAGCCTCTCCTTTATCTAACACTAATTCAAACCCTATGAACTAGTCTTTTATTTGCTTATGTTTTTGTACTCTATAATACTTTGTTAGGATGGTTTTTATTAGTGTTTTTGAATGATGGATTATTTGCATTTGAATGAAGTATTGCAGGTTTGGGATTATTTGCATTTGAAAGCGAATTTGCAGGTTTGGGATTATTAACGTGTAACCAATATGTGACCAAACTAATTAACAAATGTGACCAATGTGTGACTACACATTATTACAAGAAACTCCAAATCTAGTATCAAAATGGTTACTAATAGAAGACTCTTTTGCTACACAAAAATGAGAGTCTTAAATTGGTCGCAAACAATTAAGACTCTTTTGCGACTAAATTGGTACTAAAAGATATATCGTCTGCGACTAATGTGGGACTAAATATTCGATCCAAGAACTCTTTCGTTTGAACCGAACAAGTCGCAAACTAGTTGCTAACTTACGTTAGTCGCTCTTTAGTCGGAAATATACAACGACATTAACCCGTCACAGATTAGTCGTTAATATGCGACGCTACAATTTATGTTGGAAAAGAGTCGCAAATTAGCGACTATCTTGGGACTGGAAAATTTTGCGACCGTTTTTTAGCGACTATCTTAGTTAGTCGTGAAAGAGTCGCAAAACCCTATTTTGCGACCGTTTTGCAACCAATATGGGGGACGCAAATGACGTGTTTTCTTGTAGTAATTGAACTCTCCAAATAATTAAATGGATTTTAAAGAAAACTCAATCCACCGCTTAGTTGCGTTCATGAACATCAAGAATTTTGATGTTCGAGACCCCAATAGCTTTTGATTTTCAATGGTATATTAAGACATAATTATTAAAAGGCTAGGTATATGAGAAACTTTGGTGAAGAAGTGAAAACGATGAGGGATAGGAGAGATCGCGAACAAAGAAAAAAAAAAAAAAAAAGAGAAAAGTAAGCATGTTTTCTAGCTTGTAAAACAGGATCTTTGGTTTAAGTGTATTTTTTATTCTTTTCAAAGGTTAAGATATTAATCAAGAAGGATTACAAGAGATATGATAAAAAAAAAATTACAAGTGGTGAAAAAAAAAATTACAAGAGGGATCTAGTTTCCCAAGTTACTCATTCCATCAATGGTAAAATACAAGCACAAGAATGAGGAACAATGTGTTATAATGAGCAGGGATTCATATGTTGATTATAAGCCAAGTAATCATTGGGAAAAATAGCCGTAAAGAGAAAATTTATATTTCGATATGTATAAAGAGAAAATCTCGCCTGGGCTGAACGCCTACAACGGCTAGATCATGGCCTTTGATGTGGACCTTTTCCTGTGCAAAGATTGAATTAAAAAAACTATTTAATATTGTGTTAAATAAAACTCATAATTTGCAGGGCTTCTTTGATAGGTATAATAATAAGAATAGAAAAAAAAAAAAAAAAAAAATAACAACACAGTGTCAATTTTGTAAGTGGTGCATTTAATGATCTGGTGTGATTTAAAAAGAACGTAATATTATGTAAACTAGCCTGTCATTGGATGAAAGAAATTATATGATGTTCTAAAAAATTAGAAATCCATGCTAACTTTAGAAAATAGATGCGCCATAAATAAACCACCATAGTAACAAAATTTTCATCCGCCAATTTTGTAAATGAAAAACTATTCTTTTTTTTTTTTGCTATTATTCCATGCTAACTTTCAAAATTTCCTCACCAACACTAAACGTATAAATTAGAAGGTCCTAGTTATAGTAGCTGCAAGAACTCCCTAGACGACAATAATTTGAGACTTTACCTAAACAATTGGAGTATATTTTCGAGTTGCAGACTGTTTCTCGTTTTCTTAGGGGTTCATAAGTAAGGATTTTCCCTTGGGCTCTGGCTTTATCAGGACGAGTATTTGACGGCTCTTTTTGAATGTTTTTTTGTCCACTGTGCCGTGACGTGCTCGGGGGAGTTGCAATTTTGGAGCCTTGGCGCCCATTCTCTTCCAAGTTCCTCCTCATGGTCATTGTCTTTTTCGCTCCACCTGCACGTTACACATGACATATAGCGCGCCAAGCCTTTAATTAGGCTTTAGTACTTTCAATAACAATTTGTCTCTAAGCTATATTAAACTAACTAATAAAATAAAACAGTACGTGAATGAAAAGTAATCTAACCGAGTTTGCGATGTTCCATTTGGTCTGCAAAAACGTTTCCATCTACAAATTGTGAAAATATGATAAAAAGAAGAAAGAAAATGATGGAAGAAACTATAGATGCCGCCATCTTAACAGTGAATGATGATCACTTTGATTACATTTCAGGCAACTTTATAGAATACAGAAGAGAGAGGAGTTGAAGATACGGACGATTTAGTTTGTGTGGTCTTAGCTTGACATGTCTTAGCGTTTACTCGGTCAAATGGGATTCTAATAATTGCATTGCGTTATTTATGTGATGCAACTTTGTCTCTTTTTTCCCCATTTTAAAGAAATAATGATAAACAAATTTCGCACTACCAAAAAGAAAACCACAATAGCGACTGCTAATAAGTAAACATAGATAATATTCAGCCATATATATCCGTAACGTTAACGGGCTTGTTACGTTTTAACGACGTTGAAAAGAAGGAAGAAACCTGGAAGAGACTACAAAAGACACTATTTTAATAAGTCCATGACATATTAGAAATAAACAAAAATGATTCAAAATCTGAATTTGTAAAAAACTTGAGATAACGGGTTTAGTTATTTTTCTTCACAAAACTATACTTTGAACTAATAGTAAAATAGTAAATGAGTCAATCAATATGTACGTAGAAGACTCGCTAAAGCCTAAATAAAGGGAAAAAGACTATGACGATCGTAATAATGATGAGTGTAACTAAATTTTCACGCATCACGCATCTATATAGGGTATAGGAGAGAGAGTTGAAGCTAGAGACGACTTAGTCTGTGTGGGTCGTTGCCTCCTTGTCGTCGGCTAGTGCGTATCTTTTTTTTTTTTTTTGGCTCAACTTCAACTATTCATTATCCAAAAGAATACATCCAAATTCAAGGTACATAACATTCACCTCTATAGAATTGGACCAAATGCAATGGTTCGATCTAGTATCACCCTGAAACACTAGCGGATCCAACGCTACCTAATCGAGAAACCATTGCATTTTTAACCACACTGAGATAGATAACACTCAACAACTCAAAGTGAAATCATCTCTTGAACCACCTAAATTGACCCTAAGGACACAAGAACAACTACTTACCCTGAGAAGACCAAAACCTAAACTGAATTACAAAGCAAATCCAAACTATTAGTCCCTTATGATTAGAATGTAGAGCTTGTCCCAATAGCATCACCACCCAGAGGTGCATCATCAGAAAGGCTTGGATTCCCCGGGTTTTCATTGTTCCGGTCTTAAACCAAAAACGGACAACACGTCCGACTGACCCGGCTAAGATACGCAAAACAAGACCAGCATGACCAGAGGCTTCTCCGAAATAAACAAACCCTAACCAGAATACTAATCGCCAAAAGATAAGGAAATGGATCACAGATTAGTATATCCTCACCTCACGGTGCGTTTCCGGGAAAGCCACCTCGCAAATACCTTGTTGTCTTGCTCCTTAGCCGGACTGAAACCAGAAGATGGAGGAATCTCATGAGATAGCCAGCTTTGAGGATAGCCTCAAATCTCGGCCACCGGCAACCCCAGATAGTGCGTATCTAGTCTTCCGTTTACTCCGTGTCTCCGTCTAATGGGGTGCGTTCTTATTATATTTTTTTAGAATTGTGTTTTTCGAACAAGAGCGTATCGAAGAAAAGGTACAGAGAGATGAATAAGTAAAATCTGGAATTGCAAAAGGTACTTGAAAATAGAATTGCATTCCATTACCTTTTGTTCGAAAACAATCTGAAAACAACCTTTAGCCCAAATCATATATATAAAAGTTGGCCAACTCTCTCCATATGAGTGACACATCATCACACAAGTAAATGACATGTGTCATTCAACATTATTTAAATTAAAAATCAGCAAAATTAATTGAAAGAAAATCAAAAGTCTCATATTGTGTTAAATCCTCCAATAATCCATTTCTTAAATGATTTCTTCAAAATAAAAATAAAAGTATAAAATTATTTTAATAAATCAATTACTACTTTCATTTTACTTTTATTATTTTTCTAATTTTTTTTTATTTTAATAGTCAATGGTCATCACTCGATAATGACTAAATAATTATTTGTGTTGTAGTTTATTTGTTTGCTACCTAATATCTTATTAGTTTAGTAATTTTACCTTGAATATTTTTTAATTATTACGTTCTGGTTCATATCTTATCATATGACATTCTTTCTTTTCATTTTTGTATCTTATGGTAAGTTCGTAACATTAACATGCAAAATTTTACAAGTAATAGGCTTTGAGACGTTAGACATACCACGGAATTCAAGACAAATCTATTTCTCTTATATGGCTATATGCAATAGCATAAAATCTAAAAGTATTACTTAAATAACTCTTTAATTTTTGCTTTCTTTTTCTTCTTTTCATACGAAAAGTACTCTTGAGATCAAAATATCTTATATTCTTGTTGTGGGTATTCATGATAATGAACAAATACTAGAATCTTAGTTTTAAAAATAATCAGATTCTACATGAAAATGTATAATTAGATATTTAGAGTCAAAAACGAATCTAACAATAAAAATTTTAAGTACATAAGATGAGTATAATTTTATTAAGTATACAATAACAAACAAAAAAATAAACACAAATTAGCAACAAAAACAATTAACACATTTTTATCTTAACAATTTTCAAAACAAACCCACGCGTAGCGTGGGAATTCATCTAGTGTACACTAAACAAGATCAAACGTCCCTTAGTTTAGATTTTAGTTAACAAAGCTATTCGATCGTTTACAGGCTTCTGATGTTGGTGAAACCTGGTTTAACTAAATCTGAAAACATTTTTTAGCCCAATGGATCTAACCTGAGAAAAAAATTTCGGCTTATACAGTATATCTGTATATGTATCCTTACTGTTTTGTTTAGAGCGGAATGGAAACGGGCTTAAGACTTTTTTGGCCCAAAATTATATGCATGTATGTTTTGTCAAAAAAAATTACGGATGTTACTCGTTAGGAAAAAATTAGATAGCCTAACAAGAAGTCATGTCATTACTCGTGTGAGGTTGACATTTTACGTTGATTTTTTCAACCAATAAATAAATACCTCCGGAAAAAGTATAATTACAAGAAAAGACTAATTCAAACCTTCAACCAAATTTAGTTGATTCTGCCGCCTTCATCCATTTTATTTGCATGTTTCTTTTTCCAACTTTGAATTTAACCGGTACTCTACCATCGGTCAATCACAACTTCTAGTCACCCAAGACTAAACCGGAGCCTAATCTACGCACCAATCAAATTTAATTTTCAAGAAAATGACACTATCTATTGGCAGAAGCTTCTTTAGTCTTTTTTCTTCGTGAGACCCTTTGAACATGCCGAGGACGGAGGAAGTTTCCTTTGAATAATTCAGCCTTTTCAACAAAGAAAATTCTCCAAACGCAACTCAAAATGACCTCTGTTTTCTCCAACGTCAAACTTCTTCTTTTAAAATTTTACAAAACAAAGCTTCAATGATTCTACTTGTATAGCTTTATCTATGATCTAATTCTCTTGTAAATCTCAATAATACCTCTTCACTTAATTTTTTTAAATCTTTTTTTTTGGATGATGAGGATTTGTGTTTTCTTGTTGTTCTTCGTTCCTTCTCCAGTCTCCGCCAGTTTCTACCCCAACTCCTCAGCCATTCCGCCGGAGCTTCTCCGTAACGCCACCGGAAACCCCTGGAACACATTTTTGAATTTCACCGGATGTCATGCCGGCAAGAAATACGATGGTCTCTACAAGCTTAAGCAATATTTCAAACATTTTGGCTACATCCCCGAAACTGATCTCTCCGGAAACTTCACAGACGACTTCGACGATATCCTTAAGAACGCCGTCGAAATGTACCAGAGAAACTTCCAGCTAAATGTCACCGGAGTACTCGACGAGCTCACTCTCAAACACGTCGTGATCCCGCGTTGCGGCAACCCCGACGTAGTCAACGGCACCTCAACTATGCATAGCGGTAGAAGAACCTTTGAGGTCTCCTTAGCTGGGCGGGGACAACACTTCCACACCGTCAAACACTACTCTTTCTTCCCCGGAGAGCCACGGTGGCCTAGAAATCGCCGTGATCTAACATACGCTTTCGACCCGCGAAACTCGTTGACCGAAGAGGTCAAGAGTGTGTTCTCACGCGCATTCGCTCGTTGGGCGGAGGTGACTCCGCTTACGTTCACGCGCGTGGAAAGGTTCTCGACCTCCGACATAAGCATCGGATTCTACTCCGGAGAGCACGGTGACGGAGAGCCGTTCGACGGCCCAATGAGAACGCTAGCACACGCGTTCTCGCCCCCGACAGGACACTTCCACCTAGACGGAGAAGAGAACTGGGTCGTATCCGGTGAAGGAGGCGACGGTTTTATCTCCGTGGCTGAGGCTGTTGATCTAGAATCGGTGGCTGTTCACGAGATTGGACATCTTCTAGGGTTAGGCCATTCCTTGGTCGAAGGTTCTATCATGTATCCAACCATCAGGACGGGTAGGCGTAAAGTTGATTTAACGACCGATGACGTGGAAGGAGTCCAATATTTGTACGGTGGGAATCCTAACTTTAACGGCTCTAGATCTCCACCACCGTCTACTCAACAACGAGACACTGGCGATTCCGGTGCTGCTGGTAGAAGCGACGGTTCTAGATCGGTTTTGACTAATCTGCTTCTGTATTATTTTTGGATTATTTTTGGATTGTTTTGTATTTAGTGTAGATAATTGGATTAGTTCATTAATTTACAGATTATGAGTTCAAAGTATAAAGTTCAAACTAATTTTTTTACAGTAAAGTTCAAACTATCTTATTTAAGCTAATTACTCAAAATCAATAATAACAATTTAATATGGAAATAACTATTGATGGGGACCATTATAACTAGAAATAATGATTAGAATTTGACCCTGGTAAAGGGAATTTATCATAACTTTGGAAGCATCGGGGTTGATCTCTCAATTCAAAAACACCATATATTAAGCCAAAAGTGATTAGTATAAGAGAAATATAATAATTACAAAAAGGTAAGTTAGGAACACAAAGATATGTTAATTAAATACAAACACATCATCACACTATCACAGTAACGACACATGGGTCAATCAGTCCCCCACCCTACACTACCCTAAACTTTAATTTTCTTTTAATTATCTTTTACCTTTCTATATAATTCTCCATTAAACGCCCCAGATCTTCCCTACCTCGGGATATGAAAACTCATCTTATAAAGCAAAACATATCCACGATTATTCCCGACAACAACAAAACAAACAAAACATAGACTCTCTCTAGCTTGCTCAAGAACAATGGGTTTTCTTCCATGTTCTTGTCCTCTGCCTTGCAATAAAACAAGATCAGAATGTGAAACGAAATCTACTCATCACCAATCCGAATCCTCGACGTCATCATCATTGTTGTCTCAGCCAAGTCTCCCATTGGTTCCTTCGCTGTCTTTTCAGCCGCAGAGCTCCAGCGTCGATCACCAGTGCTTAGCCACGCTCAAAGATAAATCCTCGTACGTCTCTTCTCTCGCCGTCTCCGATAAATTACTCTACACCGGCTCTTCCAATAGTGAGATACGTGTATGGCCCCGTGAACCTCCGTTCTCACCGGAATATTCCACCGGCGATGATCGTAACGTAGTTTCCACTGGAAACGGTGGAGTTAAATCGTTGGTGATTCATGGCGACAAGCTAATAAGTGCTCATCAGGATCACAAGATTCGTGTATGGAAGATCATCGACGAGAGCAGTCGCAGAGGTCAGAAGTACAAGTGTGTAGCTACTCTTCCGACGATGAACGACCGTTTCAAGAACCTCTTTAGTAGCAAAAGCTACGTGGAAGTCCGACGACACAAGAAGTGCACGTGGGTTCACCACGTGGACGCAGTGTCATCACTAGCCTTGTCACAAGACGGCTCTCTGCTTTACTCTGCTTCGTGGGATCGGAGTTTCAAGATATGGAGAACATCCGACTTCAAATGCTTGGACTCTATCGAAAAGGCTCACGACGACGCGATTAATGCCGTCGTGGTGTCTAAAGACGGTTTTGTGTACACGGGTTCGGCAGATAAGAAGATCAAAGTGTGGAACAAGAAGGACAAGAAACACTCACTGGTCGCTACACTGACTAAACATCTCTCGGCAGTGAACGCGTTGGCGATTAGTGAAGACGGGAAGGTTCTTTACTCAGGAGCGTGTGATAGATCGGTTCTTGTGTGGGAGAGATTGAGCAATGGAGATGACGAGGAGTTACATATGTCTGTGGTGGGAGCTTTAAGGGGACACACGAAGGCGATTATGTGTTTAGCGGTTGCGTCTGATTTGGTGTTGAGTGGATCAGCGGATAAGAGCTTGAGGGTTTGGAAGAGAGGATTAATGGAGAAAGAGGGTTATTCTTGTTTGGCGGTTTTGGAAGGACATACCAAGCCTGTTAAGTGTTTAGCCGTCTCAGTTTCTGAATCCGATTCTAATTCTGATTATTCTTGTATGGTTTATAGTGGGAGTCTTGATCTTTCTCTTAAAGTTTGGAACTTAAGGGTCTCATCTATTTAACAACTTATTTTACAGTCTATAACGTGACTATGATTACTCTCTCTTAATTAGTCTATAAACTTATGAATGTGTTATATGACTATATCATAATGGAGCTACCAGCTAGGTTTTAGTCATAAACCTACAACACTCGGTTATCGGAGAACACTTTAATATTACAATTTATAAGTTTGTTCTCCTTCGTAGACCATTCATATAATTCAAATCCAAATATATGAGATTTCTCAGTTTTGATCATCATTGGCTATGTTATTAACAATGACCTTCACGGCTTCACACGAACTTATGTGTACACACTGTTTTAATATATAGTTTTATATTTCTTTGTGTTAGAGTTAAAGTAAATAAAAAATGATGACAGAGAATTATAAAACTTATTCTACAACGTGGAAGTTGATCATCCATGTGTGTGTGAGAGATGACCCAACATTGATAAAAGAATTGTGGAACTTTTATAATAACGAATCACGTAGTTTTGTCTTCCACTATGACTGGATTTATATGTTATAATAATGAGAAATGTATATCGCATCATACACGTGAAGTATGGGGAGAGAAAAACTTTCACACTATACAATCTTTGTGTGCAGATAACTGAATTCTAAATTGAAATATAAAAATATTCTGCAATATGTCCCTTCTTATTGCTTGATAAAATGCGTTTGAGGTTTAACGTTCTGTTAGGATTCAGTTATTGGGCTTTTAATTGTAAAACCCAATAACTAAAGACCCATGAATAATATATAGATTTTAGTACGATGATACAAACCCATCAACAAGTCAACCAATTCCTAAGCATATGACGTTTTGTTGTGACCGTAAGGTGGTCCAGTTCCAATCATTTTCGTAGTAGGAATCTGGTGATAATAATTTTAATTATAATGTAATGCGTCTCGATCTCGTGAAGTGAAAGTAATATTTTGAAAACTACAAATATCTCGTCCTCCAATGTTTTTTCTATCTAAAATAATCAAAGACGGTAAAGTATTTGTTAGACATTGTTATAAAAAAATATTTGTTACAAACTAATCTTTACATTAGTTTAAAAAATGATCCTCGATAAAGCCCAACAAAAGATTTGGCAAGAACATGATAATGAGCCTCTGATTGTGTTGAAGTGTCCTCGTCGTTGTGTTTTCATTTTCTTTAATATTCAATTAATAATCTCATGTGGACCATTTTTTGTGATTACTTTACCAAATATTCCGGGAAAAGTTGTACACTGATGCAACATCCTTTTTGTGAATATAGGACTAGGCATGACTAAAAGCTAACCGTAACCGTATTTCGGACCGTAACCGGACCGTTTCTCAACCGTAACCGAACCGTAACCGTATAAAACGGTTAATAACCGTAACCGTTAATCGTAAAAATAAATTAGTTACGGTTAAAAAATATACTAACCGTAACCGTTAATTAACCGTAAACGTATCAAAACCGTTAGTTAACCGTACGGTTAACCGTGCGGTTAACCGTATAGTTAACCGTGCAGTTAAAACCTAAAATACATAATTATTTCACTAAAACAGTGCCTTAAATGGTTCAATGAGCCCCACTATTAAATTTAAACCACTCCACTCGTCCACTACTCATTTTCCACAAATCAAATCATAAATAATTTACAAGTTATTATTTTCTCCTGTAATCGTTTCTTAATTCTCATAACATCCTTTCTATAGTATTGTTTGGAATACGTATTGTCAATAAAATAATAACTCAATCATTATAATTATTACCATTGATTTAGTTATTCGTTGGTTTACTTAACAGAACAAAATAGCTAATTAACTATAAATATTAAAGTACATAATTACATATATTATATATTATAAAATTTATTATATATTGTAAAATATATATTATTTAATATATCATCATTAAAAATTTTATTCTAAAAGTTAAAAATACCTAAGTTTTTGTCTTTGATATTAACCGTATCGTAATAATTAAAAATAACCGTAACCGTATTTAACCGTAACCGTTGTAACCGTAACCGTATTTAACCGTAACCGTTTTAACCGTATATATAACGGTTAAGGTTACGGTTAGAGAAATTTTATAACCGTAACCGCAATAACCGTAACCGTGGTCATGCCTATATAGGACAGAAAAATATAAACAAAAATTTAACAATTTGACGTTAATGGCTAATTAAATTCGATAATATTCAAACTACAGCAGCATCAAATCATATATACTGTTATTATTCTTATACAGAGTAATTAAAATTTGCCCCAAAAAAAGAGAGTAATTAATTTTATTATTATAGTCAACAACACTATTACTATTCAACCCTACCTATATAGTAATATCCTTATATAAATATATTTATATATTTACCATATAAGGTTAATTATGTTTTTTAAAATCCCATATATGTCACACCCATTTATTTAGAAAAAATCTTAGTTGTTTAGTGTATTCAGAAACGTATAATTTTTTTTGTTATGTTTAAACTTGAACCACTCATATAAGTTGGTTACTAGATATTGTTGAAAACCATATTGTAAGTTATAACTAAACCAATCCAAATAGAAACATACAATTAGAGAAATGATTAAAAAAAGGTCATAAATAACTCATATGAGTTGGATTATTATTGTTAATTAAATTATTTTATCTGGAAACCTACTGTCTTGCTTCGCGTGAACACTACGCGCCTACCAAAAATAAAGATGCCAAAACAAGAAAACAACCTGCGGACCTCAAAATCTAACAATCCCACGCGCCGAGATCACGCGCCGAACCAGCGCACTGTAGTGTGAAATATCCACAGTTTTAAATTTCTTCTTCTTCTCTTTCTCTCTCAAACTATTTCTCTCACCTTCCTCCTCCGATTTCTCCTTTGACAGTTCAGTCTTATCTCTCTCCCAAGGATCGTAGATATATAGATAGGTAGAGAGAGAGAGGAACCGTCACGTAGCTCTCTTCCGCCGTCAATTTGAGTTTTCCGGGGAGAGAATTGTAGAAATGAAGGAATAATCGAGACCTCGCTGGAGATTCTATTTTGTTGAAGTGTGGATTGATTCTTAGGGTTTTCTGGTGAGGTTTTTTGTGTGTTTTGGTGTGAAGAGAAAATGCCAGGTCATAGATCCAAGTCGGAGAAGAAGGATGCTGATAAGCAGCTCCGTCGGGATCCTTATGAGGTTTTAGGAGTTTTAAGAAACTCTACGGATCAGGAAATTAAGAGCGCTTTTCGGAAATTAGCTCTCAAGTAAGTTTAATTTGGTTTCTGTTGTCTCTCTTAGTTTGAACTCTGAAATTTGCAATTGGAAAAGCTGTGTTAATTTAGGGTTAGGCTATGAAGAAGAACCTGGAATTGAATCAATTTAGGTTACAGAGAAGGCTCTTGAATTGAATTTACCGATAAGTCAGGAATTAGTTAATAGCTAATTGTTAATCTGTGATTTGGTCTAAGGCTAATTACAAATTCTATGCACAAGCATTTGGTCCTCGTCTTGCTATCTCTGTGCTTAGCCTTGTTCCCAAATTGATGTTTGGTGTTTTAGGTACCATCCTGATAAGACTGCAAATGATCCGGTTGCAGCTGACATGTTTAAGGAGGTTACGTTTTCTTATAACATCTTGTCTGATCCGGAGAAACGTCGCCAGTATGATTCAGCAGGTTTTGAGGTGAGATTTGTTTTGCATTGTAGGATTGTTGATTTACTCTGACCTCTATGGGAGGTAGTGCAATTATTATTATCATGCTATTGATTGAGGTTAAGATGCTGGTCAGGCTTGAGTTCAAGAATTTTTAGGATCCTGGTCTCTAGAAATATTGCTATTCTCTAGGAACGTTCTTAATGTGTGATGTGTTTCGAAATTCTTCCAGCTGTTAATGGCCTAATGCTATGTCAGCATCAACTTTAAGACTTTGCTGATTGCAATGTGCTTCTCTTTCACAGGCTGTTGAAGCAGAAAGCCAAGAGCTAGAGCTAGATCTCTCAAGTTTGGGAGCTGTGAATACTGTGTTTGCAGCTTTGTTTAGGTTTGTTTCTTTTGAAATGGACTTCTGTTCGTTTTCTAAGTCCCCTTTTATGTGAAGCTGAGTATTTGTTCTGAAACTTCTGATGAATTAGCAAACTTGGTGTGCCGATAAAAACATCTGTATCTGCAACTATTTTGGAGGAGGCTCTTAATGGCAGAGTTTCAGTTGATCCTCTTGTACTCGGACAAGCTGTGTCTAAAAAGGTGTGCTTTTTTAGCCAATGCCTAGTTATGATCTCATCTGTGTGTAATGAGTGTCTATCTCCATATAAGTCTCATATGTGCCATTGTTCTTACAGGTTGAAAAACAATGTGCACACTTTTATGCTGTCACAATATCAGAGGAGGAAGTAAGTGCTGGGTTGGTCTGCAGAGTAGAATCATCTAGCAAAAGCAAATTCAAGGTTGGTTCGACGTAGTCTTTCCTGTTAAACTGATATGGAAATACCAAAGTATTGATGAACTAACGTGTGTGTCTGCTTGTGCAGTTACTGTATTTTGATCAAGAGGCCAACAGTGGATTAAGCCTAGCCCTGCAGGTATTGTTGTTATTAATTGTAGTGAAAACAGTGTTTTTCAAAGAGTTTTCATATATCACATTAATAGAATAAGTAACTCAAATGGTTGTTTTCTTCTTGTACATTGGATCCCACATGGATACAGGAGGACAGCAAAAGAACCGGTAAGATAACATCTGCCGGAATGTACTTTCTCGGTTTCCCTGTCTACCGGTTGGATCACACAGTTAATTCAGTAGGTTCACTTCACTATGTTCTAACCATACTTCACCTCCTTATACTGGATGAAGTTTCTTTTGCTTTCTCACTCTTTTTTCCCAACATGACTTCATTTTTATTGCTCTAGATGGCTCAAGCAAAGGATCCAGAAACTGCCTTCTTTAAAAAGCTTGATGGATTTCAGCAATGTGAAGTTACCGAGCTAAAGGCTGGCACTCATGTCTTTGCTGTCTATGGTCAGTTTTCCCGGCTTGTAATCTGATAACAAATTAACTTCTCTTCTCCTTTTTTTATACCTGTCTGGATCCAGTACTCGATTGATCCAACTTGGTGGTCATTTCCTTTTTCAGGTGATAACTTTTTTAAAAGCGTGAGCTACACAATCCAAGTCCTTTGTGCTGCTGCTTTTACGCAAGAAAAAGAAGAACTTAGGTCTGTAGAAGCTCAGATCCTCACTAAAAGAGCAGAGCTGGCAAAGTTTGAGACAGAGTACAGGGAAGTACTTGTGCAGTTCACTGATATGACCAGTCGATACGCTCAGGAAATGCAATCGGTTAGTCATTTGTTCACGATAAGTTATTAAATTTCATACCACCATTCACAGAAAAAGAAGAGAAGATGTGTCATCACTGAGTACATTAGACCAGTTTCTATGTGTAAGTTTCTGAAATGGTGAGCTTAGTGTGATTTTTAATGTGTTTTAACTTTTTTACAGATCGATGAGCTTTTAAAGCAGAGAAATGAAATTCACTCAGCATACACAACAATTCCATTGATGAAGCGGAGCTCAAGTAAGAACAGGCTGAGAAAGAGCTCATTCAAGAAAGCAGCGGCTAAGGCGCCTGCTCCAACTGAACAAGAAGAAGATGAAGATGAAGAGGAAGAGGAAGAAGAAGAAAGCAGCAGACAGAAGAACAAGAAACCAAGTACTTGTGATCGGTCCGAGACACTAAAGAAGAAGAGCAAATGGTTCAATTTACATTTGAAATTGGACAAGAAAAAACCTTGTTAGTTCTTTTATCTCTTTTATAAAAAATCAGATTCTTATCCATTATTTTTCTCCCTTACCTTAGGGATCGGTGTATCTGTAAATCTTTTGCTATTTTTCTCCTTCAACTTATTATTAGTATTAGTCAACAATTTTATTTTGATCATTGTTATCAGTGAAAGTTCTATTTAACATATTTGAACCCACTACCACATATGACAAATGGATCACAAGTATGGAAATTTTGTGATATCAAATTCACATACAAAATTTAGAAAACACATTTTCATGGCACAAAAAGTTTCACGAGAGAATTTTTTTTCCACCCAAGGCATGAATCATGATTGATACATTTTCAATTTTGATAAATGTTAGCAACTCAATCACAAGACCACTTGGTGAAAAATAAAATCACACTACCAAAATAATATGAAACTTTTTTTCTTTTTTGAATGTGTTTGTGTTAACAGAGGTAACTTTCTAATTTACCCCTTGTAGTCATTGTATTGATCACACCGCCTTCTTACTTCTCCAAGCTTCCCTGTCTTCACATTCTTCTCACTAACTTTCTCCATTGCCTTGGCAAACGCGTCAAAGAACGCCGTTTCGTTCTCCGCGTAAAGATCCACCAGTGACCGCGTCCTGTTATCAAACGCAATCGCGTGATCTGACTGGAGCAACCCGTAACCATGCTTCAAATTCTTGTAGTACATGTTGTCAAATTTTCCAGGGGTAAAAACATCATTAAACGCAGACATCTCTTCGTCTTTTGTATAATTCGCACACAGCTTCCTCAGCTCCGCCGCGTATTTCGGATTCATCTCCACCGGACCGTTTTGATCGGACTTGTTAAAGATCCGACTCGCGAACTCTTTGCAATGAGAGAAACCAATGGTGTGAGCACCAACAAGAGCGACCATTTCTTGAACGGTCAAACCACTAGACTCGAAAATAGAAATGATATGATCCATAGTCATGTTAGGTCGAGCTAGCTTTCCTTCAACACGATTCATATCCGAGACAAGACTATCTTTCCGACCGAACTTAACGTTAATTCTCGGACCTCCGACCATTGTGACCAAGCTACGTGTTGCACCGACGAGAATGTCAGAGCAAGAAACGACGTTGGGACATTTGAGTTCTACGGCGGTTTTAATACGTGTGATTACGTCGAATGCGTCTCCAGGTAGAGAATGGTTGATATCTGCGTCACGTTCTGATGTTTTACGTGGAGTAGAAGCAACGAGGATTGAGGCATCGCAGCCATCGACCATACAATCGTGGAAAAAGAGACGGAGTGTTCCTGCGGCTGTTGTTGGAGCAGCGATTTGTTTATCGGTGACGATTTGGACGAGTGTTTGCTCGAATTCAGGACATGTTTTGGTGTAATAGTCAGATGAGAGATTGGCTTGAATGAGACATGGAGAAGATAGGAGAATAAACAGACATAGACCAAAAGATTTCATTGAAAAAAAGAAGAAAAAATCTAATAATATTTTCTTGTAAATTTTCTCCTGATTTCAATTTTTTATTGGTTGATTTTCGATCTTTTTTCTCTTCTTGTTGTGGACGTGTGTTTTTTTTAGCTGTTTGTGTCGTTGTTAATTCTAAAACGAATGTGTTTTGTTTAGAAAAATCTAAGGAAAAGAGAGTTTTCAGGAGAAACAGAAAACAAAATTTTGCCAGATTGTAAAACCCTTTTTTAGTCTCCACAATTATTAGAAAAACTAAGGAGAAAATAGTCACAATGTGACTCCTAACAAAAATCTCATATGTATAAAACTTTTGTTTATTCCTTTCGCCACACACTAGAGTAGATAGACTTACTATTTACTAACGTCAAAGAGGTATGACTTTCCACTCTTTCATATACTACAAACCACAATTCTATAAATTTTGTTACAATTTCTATAAGCAAAAGTCCTATAAATTTGTTACAATTTTTTCACAAATATTCAAATATTGAATAATTTCGTTCTGTTATACTATATAGTTCATTGTTATTTAGTAATTTATATATCATTATTTTGTTCTGTTATTTCATTTTTATATGTTGTTTTATAATTACATTTTTTTTTCCATTTGACATAAGTTTAAAAGAAAAATAAAAATATCCAACTACATAAGTTAGGTTGGTGCCACCAACGCAAAACGTGAACAACGCGAAATTTAATTTGACTAATATATAAACCAAAATCAAATAACAATTGTCTTCAACACTTTGTCATCTTCAATTGAAAAAAAAAAAAAAAACAGAAACCAAAGCTCTGCTTCTTTGAGCAACAACAATGGTGGAAACAACTCCTAAACTCAAAGGCCACGTCGTAATCTTACCTTACCCAGTTCAAGGTCACCTAAACCCAATGATTCAATTCGCTAAACGTCTAGTCTCCAAAAACGTCAAAGTCACAATTGCCACCACTACCTACACCGCTTCCTCAATCACAACTCCATCAGTCTCCGTCGAACCAATCTCCGACGGATTCGATTTCATCCCCATAGGTATCCCTGGTTTCAGCGTCGATACTTACTCAGAATCCTTCAAGCTCCACGGATCCGAAACCCTAACTCTCCTAATCGAGAAATTCAAATCCACAGATTCACCAATCGATTGTTTAGTCTACGATTCGTTTCTTCCTTGGGGACTTGAAGTTGCTAGATCTATGGATGTTTCAGCTGCTTCTTTCTTCACTAACAATCTCACTGTTTGTTCTGTGTTGCGTAAATTTTCTAACGGTGAGTTTCCTCTTCCCGCTGATCGTAATTCGGCGCCGTTTCGAATCCGTGGCTTGCCGTCTTTGAGCTACCATGAGTTACCTTCGTTTGTGGGACGTCATTGGTTGACTCATCCGGAGCATGGGAGAGTTCTTTTGAATCAGTTTCCTAATCATGAAAATGCTGATTGGTTATTCGTTAATGGCTTTGAGGGGTTAGAAGAAACACAAGTAAGAGTTTCAATATCATAAGATTTATGTGATGTTGTTTAGTTAAAATTGGAATTGATTGGATTGTGTTTTGGTTAGGATTGTGAAAATGGTGAGTCTGAGGCAATGAGGGCAACGTTGATAGGACCGATGATTCCATCGGCTTACCTTGATGATCGGATAAGAGATGATAAAGACTACGGGGCGAGTCTACTGAAACCGATATCGAAGGAATGTATGGAGTGGCTTGGGACTAAGCCGGCTCAGTCGGTAGCATTCGTTTCGTTTGGTTCGTTTGGGATTCTGTTTGAGAAGCAGCTCGCAGAGGTAGCGATTGCGTTACAAGAATCGGATTTGAACTTCTTGTGGGTGATTAAAGAAGCTCATATCGCGAAATTGCCCGAAGGGTTTGTGGAATCGACTAAAGACAGAGCGTTGTTGGTTTCTTGGTGTAACCAGCTCGAGGTTTTAGCTCATGAATCGATCGGTTGCTTTTTGACTCATTGTGGTTGGAACTCGACATTGGAAGGGTTGAGTTTGGGAGTTCCGATGGTTGGTGTGCCTCAGTGGAGTGATCAGATGAATGATGCAAAGTTTGTGGAGGACGTTTGGAAAGTTGGGTATAGAGCGAAAGAGGAAGCTGGTGAAGTAATTGTGAAGAGCGAAGAATTGGTGAGGTGTTTGAAAGGAGTTATGGAAGGAGAGAGTAGTGTGAAGATTAGAGAAAGTTCGAAGAAGTGGAAAGATTTGGCTGTGAAGGCAATGAGTGAAGGAGGAAGCTCTGATCGGAGCATTAACGAGTTTATAGAGAGTTTAGTGAAGAAACATTGATTTAACTTTGTAAATCATGAAATGTATGTGTTTGTTGTTGTTGTATAACAGCTTTGTACCAAGATGATTATGATTCAATAAACCAATTGTGCTTGTGAACTGAGAAGTAGGTCTTTTAAAGTTTTAACGAAAAAAGGTTGAATTCAAACTAGTAAATGTTGGGCCTTTAATACCCAAATGGGCCGAAACCATAAAAAGCCTTTAAAGAAGGAACTTCAAGAATCCCACATCGGAAGACTGAGAGATTTCGATAGAGAAGACTCCAGTATAAATAGACTTCACTCTCTTTGTGAAAAAATCACGCAGCCATGTGGTGAGCACAAAGCGAACTATTCTTTCGCCTTTTACTAAAGAATACCGTGTGCTCTCCACGCTAAGTGGCATACGCCTATTTTTGGAGGGATCTGCCTTTGGGTGGACCCAACATTTTACTAGTCTGAATCTTTTTGTCTCTCGAAAATGAGAGATATCATCACTTGATTCATTTCTAATGGGTTCTATGCGAAAATTACTTTTGCCTCCTAATTTTCTTCCAACGAAGCGCAAGATAGTTGAATCCTCAATTGAAAAAATAAAATTGACTGATAAGTTATATTTTCCACATCACCTCTGTTTGATTAAATAGCTTAGCAAAATTCTAAACATCTTTCAGAAATCATCAATTTCAAATTAATTTTCCGTGCCAAAAGCTTTCAAGCGTTAACTAATAACTACTAATTTGTCCGAACTCCGAATTCATGAATAGAACTAGCAATGAAGATTGTGCTGAATTAGCTTTGGAAGGTTGTTAGTCCTCTGTGATTACTGTTCAGAAACCTAACACAAACTTCAATTGTTGTTAGCTTTGATACTTGGACAATTACCTCTAGTTATATTCCCTTATATCTATATTCAAACTTCAATCGTTCAAAGGGTCGTCATTAGCTTCGATCATTGAGTTCATCTCGGTCTATAAACCGCTCCAACAGCTCTTTTTCTTTCAGAACCAAGCAATCCTCAGCTTTACCAAACCAGTCATACCGATGCTTCGCCACATAGTCATACACTGAGTCTCTCAAAGGAGTGGGAACGATGGAGAAAGCGTTCAATGCGGAATACGGCAGAGGCAAGTATGATACCACTCGAAGTGCAGCTGCAGAATCAAAAAATGCAGAATTAGAAGGTATAATAACATGTTAATCATGAAATAAATTACTTAGTAAGACTGACTATAGCTTAAAACTGATATCATATGGAATCCATCTACCATAACCAGTCGGGCATACTTAAACTAGGCGGAGTTCAACTCTCGGTAACTTAAAAGACCTACTTTTCAGTGCAGATGTTTTCAGCTAAACTCTTACCAAACTCTTAACGACGAAACTTAAAAGCATTTGTGGGAAAACAAGATGTACATACCCGTTGATGCCTGATGGTAAAATCCGAGACCTTCAACGAAGAGAAATCGTTTCTGAACATCCTCTTTAGTGACACCACTCACTTCTAGATAAGGCTCAGCTGCTTTAGACTGAAGGCAACAGAACTTTATCTTTCTATACTTATCAGCTTTGATTATCCACTTCACACCTACATTGAACACAGTTACTCAGCTACAAATTAACAACATTTCAATCTAGAACAAATAATTCTTAGAGAACTCAAATTCTCTAGCACAATGACTCCCAACATATGTCAACTACAAAAAGCAATTCCCACATTTTCTCTATGTTTCAACTTTTCTTCCACTATCTCTGGTTCAAGACTTCAAGTCAAATCAATGTGACAACAAAGGAAATAAGAAAACTGCATAATCTTCTTCTTCCAGAAATCGATATAACAATCATTCCAATTGAATCGCAAACAACCAAAAACCCCAGACTCGTTTTTCCCCATTTTCGCAGAACAAGACTAAAAATCAACTAGAACCAAATCATTTCATCAAACGTAGACGGGATCGATCAATAAACAACTAAACGATCCTTTCGAAAACGGATCTGTTCTACGCTAAAGAGAGAAACAGAAAAGCATTGTACCTCCATGGCAAAGATGACAAACTCCGTCGTACACGACGACACGTGGCTGAAGGTTTCCAGGCATAGTCACCGGAATCGCAGTCGACGATTCAGTTGGGTCCGAGTACGCAACAGCTTCATCGGCGTCAATTTCCGCCGTCGTACGGGAAATAGCTCCGGAAGAAAACGCCGGCGACGGAGCTGAGAAACAAACCGATCGACGATGCAGCGAACATCCCAGAATTGACCTGGGTTTCAAAATCCGAAGCGCTCTCGTCAACATTCTAGAAATCTTCTTCGCATTTTGTTCAAAAAAAATAAGTATCAATTGCTTTTTTTGTTTCTGGGTAAAGAATACAGTTAGCGACTTTCAACGAAGAACTGTACTTTGCTTGAGCTCCAAGTCCGGCGAAAGGTTCAATGCAAATAACAATGGGCTCATATTATCATCTATTGGGCCTAATTAATGGCAATCAAAGCCCACAACTGTTTCGATATCAAATTTCACGCGCGACGGAAGCGCGTGTTATTCAATTCTTAATGGTACAAAAGAATTTTTCAATACAAGTGTCCTAGTGTAAGCAAGCAAAAGAAAACGTTAAAACGCCGGCAAAAAATCATCAACTGAAGTAAAGAGAAGACAAATGATGAGTCAGTTTCTGCTGTTCTCTGGGAGATCTGACTCTGTTTGTATTCATTGTCTGAGAATTCTCTGTGCTCATTCTGGTTCTTCACCAGTTTCTAGTAGCTAGTAACACTGCAAGAACACAGAGATTTTAACCCAAGATGTTTTTTTTTTCAAACGAACAATGAATACTTTTCTTCAGGCTATATTTAGATCTGTATGTGGTGAGGGCTGAGGAACAACAAACCCGAATCTTTATATTCGTTGACCGATAATCAGCCTTCACGCTACCTCAACTTCTCCTTCTGTAAATGCAGCAACAGAGTTGGTTAGTTTTCTGTACTATTTTGATCTGATATTATCAAATGCAGAGAAAAGGGGAGACTAGGTTGTCTAACCGGAAAGACGGACAGCTAAGTTTGCCTGTTCATCCGCATCAGCGTTTAAATTCTATAAAGAAAAATGCCAATAATGGCAGAAACTTGCATCAGAAAAAGACCATGTAGGAATCTTGCTCACAAGCATAAGACGAGAAATATGCGATATCATTCATTTCCAGAGAGATACACATACCCTTAGTACATGGCTGATCTCAAAAGAGACACATTTGTTGCAAAGTTGTTTCGCTTCCTTATGGAGCTTCGCGAGTACCTCGTGGTTTACCTTCCATTGGCCTTTAATCTGTTGTTTCTCAGAAAGTGTTGAGAAAGTGAGAAGATAAAAGCACATATGATTCAATCAATTACCTAGTTGCATAAAAATATAAAATGTTTCATTGACGAACCTGCATACAGACCAGCTTGGAGTCACCTTTCACTTTAATTTTCTTGTAACCTTTCTCAATAGCATACTTCAATCCTAGGATTAACGCGTGGTATTCTGCTGCATTGTTTGTGGCAATTCCCAAACCTTGACGCAGTCTGCAAATCTGTGTTCAGAGAAAACTGATATTTAGATAGAGCACTGCATTCTTTAATAGTAACAGTGATTCAAAAGGATACATACCAAGCTTCCGTCCTCAGTTTTCAGTACCGCTGCTGCACCGGAGAGACCTGGATTTCCCTTTGATGCACCGTCAAATTCAATAAAGCAAGTTTCCTAATACATGAGGAGATAGAGAAACAGACCAACTTGAGCACAAAATTCTGCTTTTAGTCTATTGAAACTATGAGTAACTGTATATAGAAACATAATCACAACTCACGTCTGATATATCAGCAGATGGCTCCAGCTTTGAAAGCTTTTCCAAAGGATCATAAGATATAGAAGCTGAAGGAAGTTGATCCTGCGAAAAATGAATACTTAAGCAACGAGCTTAAACGCTTTGTCGCATAATCATTAAAATTCAGCTAAGCTGCTCAATAAGATTCCAAAGAAACTTGTTCTTATAGCTTACTTTGTTGTTATCTTTAATTTTATCTTTTGACTTCGTCTCTGATGTAGCCTCCTCTTCCGATACTTTGACTGTACAAGAAGCTGGCTCCTAGTGAAGAAATTTAAAGAGAGACAGTTACTCTTTCAGTTCACAATCCCACATCACAAATCATGCAGTTGCAGACATTCTCCAAGAAAACATCATAAGAAGGAAGAGAAATACAACATATACCACAATAGTATCATACCTGGAAAAGACATGGTGTGAGAGCGCCAAACATATCATCTTTCAAGTCAGAAGCTCTTAAACTATATAGTGGTTTCTTCAGCCCAACAGAAGAAAGATATTCCTCAGTGTCTTTAGGCAAAGAGTATCCCTTATAAACACTAACCGGAAGATCAAACACCTACACCATTATCAAGAAAGCTGTTATATTCCCATCATAAAGAAAGTATATACACACACAACAGATTCTAAGTCAAAATATAATTACCGAAGATCCAACTTGAGCCTGACAATCACTCAAATCCTTATAAATTCCAATAACATCACCTTTCCGAACAACGAAAAACGCGTCCTTCTCTTTATCCGCAACAGAAACAACGGTAGATGACATCTTTAATTTACCAGACTTTGATCTCGAGGAATAAGAATGAACACTACACATTCCAAACACACTACTCACACCTCCAGGCTTTAAACATGATTTTGAAGGCATATAGAAGAAACATTGATTCCATGGAATGTGAGTAGAACTGACATAGCTTGATCTCTTAAGCAGTCCCAATGAAATAAATGAACGCGCATGAGACAGACAGTTCATTACAATGTAAGTCACCACACACTGTGATTAAATATAAAAAAGCACACAACTTTAGATAAGCTTGAGAGATATAAGAACAAATGTACAAAACACGAAACTAAAGTTGAAAAGTTTAACACTTTCGCAGAATTCTTAATCTGGGTATCTATAATTGAAGCGGTTAAGAGAAATTTCTCCACGAGAACTTCCGGCGAAACAAACCAGAGATTGAGTAGAAAACGGATTTGTGTAGAGTCAAATTAACATCTTACCAAGCACAGAGACGTGAATCTCTCGATTGATTGGTCGCTACTAAATGCGAAACTGTGAGTGGGCAGTTTCCGGTGAAGAAGGAAGACGAACTCACTCGGTGGGTTTAAGCTGGGTTTTGGACCTTTTGGTCCCAATCCTCAAAAGTTAGGGTCATTTCAAGTACTGACAATTTCACACTTAGATTTCACACTTAGATTTCACACTTAGATTAAAGGTTTTGTAATGTTACATATGTTCAGACAAGGTTTCGTGGTGTAGTTGGTTATCACGTCAGTCTAACACACTGAAGGTCTCCGGTTCGAACCCGGGCGAAGCCATTACTTGTGTTTTTTTTTCAAATGTAATTTTTTACAAGAATCAAATGGGCTTTATGGACCTAAATATGACCCAATCAAAATGCAAATCCATGAGACACGTACGTTAGTAGTAGTAACTCAAATCCATGGTCATTGTTGCTATCATTGTTCGACGTTTACAAAAACAAGTACGATTGCAAAATTCATCACGTGATAATTACGGATACGAAAAATAGTGAGAGGAGTTAAAAAAACTTTTTTGTTGTTTTTCGATAATGATTCAGAATTGAAAACACTTTTTTTGTTCTTTTTCTCTTTTGTGTGGTTTAAAGTTGTGATACTGCTCGTGAGTCATCAGCATCTTCTCCAAATAATCAGCAACGTACACTACACTATTAACGACAAGTCGAGAACCAACCAAACTAAATAAAACCAACAAAATGTCTCAACTAAAAAAACAATAAAAACAAATAAATTAAAAGAGTGCTAGCTTAAAGATGCAAATGCACCATTGAATTAGAATCTCTCTTGAAGTTAGTCACTGACGAGCTTAAACTAGACACAGAGAAAATGACTACGTTTCTGAAGTCACTTATCTTCTTACAAGATTCATGTCTTGCCTTCATATCTCTAATGGTAACTAAGATCATCATATCTTTCTTTATCACTTGCTCTGTTTCTCGGCTTTACGGATAGTTTCTTATTTTGTCTATCTATATATGCATGAGAAGTTTCATGGAGGGAGTTCTGAAGATGCAGCTGAAGCTCTCAAGAAGCTTGCAGCATCCGTTAATGGTGTGAGGATAAGCATCAACACGACATGGACACGAGAATTGAGGAGCTTATTTATAGTTCCCATATTCAAATCTTTGGTGGCTCTTTGTTTGATAATCTCTCTCTTAGTTTTCATAGAGGGTATATACATGAACCTTGTAGTGCTCTACCTCAAGGTGTTTAAGCGAAAACCCGAAAAGGTCTATAAATGGGAGCCGATGCAAGAGGACATTGAGCTCGGACATGAAACCTACCCCATGGTCCTAGTCCAAATTCCAATGTACAACGAAAAAGAGGTATATTTACAATACCATAATTTTATAAATTATAGTATGGACCGAATCACAACAGTTGATCTCAAACTAATTCATGTTTCTTATACATTTATAGATGTGAGATTCCTAATATGTTCTTAACTCGCAGGTCCTTCAATTATCTATAGGTGCTGCATGTAGACTAATATGGCCATTGGACCGCCTAATTGTTCAAGTTTTAGATGATTCCACTGATCAAACCATCAAGGTCTTGCCGACCAAGTTAATTTGTTGATTTATTTGGACACATATATGTATTGTAAGATAATTAATGTGAAGAGAATTGAATTTCAGGGGCTGGTGAACACAGAGTGTGCAAAATGGGAAAGCAAAGGCGTAAATATAAAGTGTGAGAGGAGAGACAACAGAAATGGCTATAAAGCCGGAGCTCTTAAACAAGGCATGAAGCACAATTACGTGAAGCTATGCAACTATGTTGTCATCTTCGACGCAGACTTCCAACCAGAGCCTGATTACCTCCAACGCTCTGTCCCCTTCCTCGTCCATAACCCCGAGGTCGCTCTCGTTCAAGCCCGTTGGAGATTCAGTACGTAGATTATGGTAGACAATTTGACATATCTAAAAACTAACAACTATTAAGTATTATAAGACATCAATATTTGTAAATTTTTAACTCAAAATCTAGTTGGTGATGATAAACTGAACTTATATCTTTCGTAACAATGCTATGTACATTGGTCCGATCCTTTAAATTTGTCAGCATAATTAAGAATCCTAACAAAGTCTATTTACAAACTCATGAGTGATGGTATGTGTGTGGGTCATCGCAGTGAACGCAAACAAGTGCTTGATGACGAGGATGCAAGAGATGTCCCTCAACTACCACTTCATGGCAGAGCAAGAATCTGGATCCACTAGACATGCATTCTTTAGCTTCAATGGTGCATTTGCTTATCATTACATGTTTTAATATGTTTTAGGATACTCTTTAACTTTATTTCATAAATATGGTTTTGGTATATCTCTATCAGGAACTGCGGGTGTATGGAGAATGGCTGCAATGGAAGAAGCCGGAGGATGGCATGACCGGACCACTGTAGAGGACATGGACTTGGCCGTTCGTGCTGGTCTTCTCGGCTGGAAATTTGTCTTTCTCAATGACCTCACGGTACTTGATTTGATCACTACCTATAAATTATTATAAAATAAGCCCTACACAAATTAAAACACTCATCGCATCTTTTATAAATTATGTATCCAACATTTACTAGTGCTTTATAAAGTTACATAGACACTCCCACTTTTTTTTTTATTATTATGCTTCTACTTTTGAACTAGGGCCTTTGAACTATAGTTTTATAAAGTCACATAGACACTCCCATTTTGAACTATAGTTTTTGTGGTGGATTTTTTTGAATTTGGTAATGGACCTAGTTTCTGACTAGCTAGTGACACTTTCGTCTTGATGTGCAATGATATCTATAAATACTATATAGTGATGCATTGCTATTTGCTATCAAAATAATTATTAGCTTGTAATCATTGCATTATGTATATGAACACTGAGTTTGTAGGTGAAAAGCGAATTACCAAGCAAATTTAAGGCCTTTAGATTCCAGCAACATCGATGGTCTTGTGGTCCAGCTAATCTCTTCAGGAAAATGATTATGGAGATTATTCGCAATAAGGTCCGTTTCTCAATTTACTTATTTCATCTTGACAAAAAACGTGCCCACATTTTGTTTTGTCTCACGTCCAACTACTTTGTTTTTTTGTTCATCGTGTTAATATGGAGAGACAAACAGGCCATGTGATGTGAGGCTGACGTACACTTTTTTTGTTTTGATTGTTCGTTCACTTCGATGGGGATTGGTTTTCTCTTTTGTTTTGTTGTTTCTTTTATGCTTCAAGAAGACACAAAAAAAAAATACAAATTTGAAGCTGCACTTGATTTGGTAATCTGATGGGGTAGAAGACCGGTTTGGTTCAATCTAGTGCTATTGGTTCGGCTTAGTTATACCAAGTCGAATTAAAGATTGATTATTTTCATTTGTGACTTTTAGCAAATAATTAACATGATGGAGGAGTAAACATCTAACCTTGAGTTACAAATCTATGTAATAATGAGCAGAGAGTGACGCTTTGGAAGAAGTTGTATTTGGTCTACAGCTTCTTTTTCTTACGGAAGATCATCGTCCACTGCTTCACGTTTTTGTTCTACTGCGTTATTCTTCCTACAAGTGTCTTCTTCCCCGAAGTCAACATTCCAGCTTGGTCAACTTTTTACATTCCGTCTATGATCACTCTCTGCATCGTCATTGCGACACCAAGGTTAGTAATGCTTAATTAATTCATCTTGATCGATAAATATATCACCTAATTGTATATTATATATCATTTACTATGGATTATGGACTTTTGTAGATCATTCTACCTCGTAATATTTTGGATCTTGTTTGAAAACGTAATGTCTATGCACCGGACGAAGGGAACTTTCATCGGCATACTCGAAAGACAAAGAGTGAACGAATGGGTTGTCACTGAGAAATTAGGAGATGCTCTTAAGACTAAGCTACTACCTCGGATTGAAAAACCTAGTAACGGGTTTCTTGAAAGGTAACTATATAAATTAATCAACTAATCATATCTAAACTAATGTGTGCTAAAGAGTTTGGTTGGTTGCAGAGTAAACTCCAAGGAGATAATGGTGGGGATATACATCTTATGTTGTGCTTGCTATGGACTTTTCTTTGGGAACACATTGTTAAATCTCTATCTCTTCATGCAAGCGGTTGCTTTTCTCGTATCCGGAGTTGGCTTTGTCGGCACTTAAATATCGATCACATTTAGACCTCAATTTTAGTGTCTAGCTCTTCAACAACTTAGTTCATGCTTGACTAGTCAGTCGCAAGTTAATTGTGTAAATTAGTTTGATAATATCTAGATATTTTGTCTATCTACGTTAGTTTTATATCTTGTATATCGAATAAAATGGTATTATACATCATTCTAATCACATAAAACATACATTTTTTTATTATCACTGCTTTAATAAAATAAATTAAGATAAGCTTCTTAATTTAATTTATGCATTTAAGCCTGATTAGTACTTACAGTGCACACAAGATGTAAAATTCAATCGGAGAGGAGAGGAAGGCTCTGAAAGTTGTTTTCTTGGGTTTATCATTCAGAATAGTGCATAATCATGTTATTTTTAATTTATTTGACATTACCTCATTAAAATTGATATAAATCTATATCAGTTTGCATCACTTTCAAAATACTATTACAAAAAAACGATTTTGGATAAACTAAATTATTGATATATTTTCGAAAATTTGGGATGGTTTAGAAAGGATGTCCTCTGCTTTGAAATTCCCAAATCTAAGAGAGTTGAAATTCCTAAAGCCAAAAAAAAAAATAGCTTCCAAAACGTTCTTAAAGATGCTTAAGGTAAAAATGCTAAAATGGTACACATACTATCTCATGAATGCAAATATGCACTCACTCTCATGAAGACAATGATGCTGCTATGTAAGAAAAAGAAGTCTATTCTCCAAGTTCAAACTGAATACCAACAAGAAAAATTGTACTATCAAAAAAACTATCAAAAGTATCTCAAAGGCCTTACACTTCTACTATGGAAAGGATGTTGTTTATCCTCCAAGGACACCAAAATCTCTTAAAGGATCTTGGCAACTTATTCCAAGATTCTGTGATGCTTCATAGTCTTACAAGCACTACTTTTCCGGTTGCCATTGATGATGATGTTGTAGGCCACCCAAAGCAGCTTTTCCCTCCCGAACCTGAGGCTGAGCGACGCGTCGTCGAGTCTGATGATAGGGAGCTTTCTCGGCTAGATATACATACTCGCCCATGTTAGTTGCATGGCGCTGCAAGATCTTGATGAGGTATTGTTTCATTCGTTTGCAGTTTATATAATAAAATGGTAAAAATTCAAATTTTCTTAAAGTAGATTTAGAAAATTGTTTTCTCTGTTTTCAAAAAAAAGACTCTCAAAGAGAATTTTTATATAAAATATCTTCGAAAATAGATTTTAAAGCTTTCTATGTTATATATATTAATTAATGATAACAAATTTGTTAATTTTAAGAAATACTGATTGAAGATAATTAAATTTATTGAATTACTAATGGTATAGAGATATGAAAAATGTTTAGTACCAAAAAATGGCATCTCTTATAATTAAGCATTAATTGTTTTTCTTCATATGTATAAAACCTTTAGAAAATTCATTAGTAAGAAACAAATGTATTATTGAAAACAAAAACCCTATATATGACGAAACCTTTAAATAAGCAACACTAAATTCGAGAGATATTTCCAGAAACTCGTCTCTCTTTCTCTCTTCGTGATCGTGTGGTGTAACGGAGAAGCTTGTTCTCCAAGCCTTCTTCGTTTTTTCTCTGCAAAATTCGGTAACAATTTCGTATTTAATTGCTTTTCAGGTTCATTTTTGTATATGTGATAAAATTTATCTGATTAGTTAAATCCCAGTGATGAAAGTTTGATCATCTTGAACCCTCAAATTAGAGATGATTTTGTTAATTTTGTTCCTAATAGAAGTCTTAAGCTAATCTCTAAAACCTATCTGACTTAATCCTCTGGCAATCTCTTAATTGGTGAATGTTCTTTTTTTTGAACGTTGACTTTGCGATTTGTAAGTTTTTATGCACTCTAGGTTCTGTTTTTTGAAGGATTCTAAAGTGGTAATAGCTTTGAGATACTAGCGAGATTCAATGATGATCTAATATGTTTTAATGAACAAAAGTTCTCTTTCTTTAGATACTAAAAGGTTTAGACCAAGTTCAAACCATGGCTGGAAGATGGGTACCACCAAAGCTAACTATGGATGATTCTGTTTTATACCTCAATTCTGTGAAAGCAACATTTCATGATGAACCAGCAAAATTCAAAGAATTTCTCAAGGTCTTGGTTGATATTAAAGCTTATCGGTATGAATTATTTTCAACTCCTGATCTACACAACAAACACACATGTGATTTTGATTCTGATGTTACTATAAGTCTCTTTGTAGAATCAATAAAGTTAGTGGCATTGCAAGGATGATTGAACTCATTAAAGGGCACCCGAAGCTGCTTCTTGGTCTCAAAGTCTTCCTTCCCGAGGCTAACAAAGAATTATGCCAATCTCAAACCATAGGTTCCACAAGAGTATCACCGGAGCTACTTAAGGTTAATGTGCCTGCAAACCTGGTCTCTGTGGAAGAGGCATTTGATGATGAACCTGGAAAATATGTGCCTGATAATAACAAAAGAACACGTGCTGAGTCTAATGATCCGGATTTTATGAACAAGCTTAGAATGCTCAAATTGTAAATTAATCCAAAGAAAATACCATAATGATCATTCTTGTTTTATTGTTGCTCATTGTAGAAGTAGTGGATCGCAAATGGAAGCATCTTAATCTCAGAGATTTACTAAACAAGAAGAGTATAGAAGCAAGAGTGTGGATAAGCAAACTTGTTTTTTTTTCATATATATTCATTGCTGCTTTTTTGGCCTTCTTAGTAGTATAAAAACATGTTTTGTGGGTCAGACGAACTAAGTTCTTTATCACTGAAAGTGGCAATGAATCATATGCTGAATTCGATGAAGGTTTAGATAAGTTTCACAAAAAAAAATCAATTCAATAATCTAGGTTCTGTTTCTTAAAGGTTCTTGTTAGTCAATTTTAAGGAGTACGTTTAATTATAATACGAGGAGCTTTAGATAAAAAGATTGCCGAAATCCAAATTAAAAAAAATAATCTAAAATCGGAAACAAAACCCTAGATGAAACCTTAAAGTTAATTTACGTCTCTCTTCGTGATCTGTGGTGTAAAAAGGAGAAGCTTGTTCTCCAAAGCCTTCTTTCTTCTTCTTCTCTCGGTAATTTCTTTTTGTTTTGTGTAAATTTCGGTTTAGGAATTTCTTTCAGGCTTGTATTTACTTCCATTCAGGCGTAAAGCTAATCTCTAAAACCCATCAGACTTAACCCTGACAAGTTCTTAACTGGTGAATTGAGTTTCTTCTATATTTTGCTCCGTTTGAATTGAGCTTCACATATGTAGTTTATGTGCCATGTGGTCTTTAAGACGGATGGATCATTTTTTGTTGTCTTTGGAAGAGCATTTTTGAGAATTAGCTTATTATGGCTTATGATATTTTTCAAAGATTCAAAATCAGTGTTGTGGACAATCCATGTCGTAATATCTTTTGAGATGCTATAAAACTTGAGGAATGACATTTGTATTGTTTTATGCAATCTAGATTCTGTTTTTGAAGAATTCTAATGACATTTTAAGAAAAAGTGGTAACATGCAGCTTTGAGATACAAGAGGGATTCAATGATTGAACTCATATATTTTGATGAATAAAAATATCTTTCTTTGGACAATGGGTTTAGGTCAATTTCAAACCATGGTTGGTAGAAGCTTATCACCCAAGGCAACAATGGATGATGCGGTTTCATACCTCACTGCTGTGAAGGAAGCACTTCATGATGAACCAGCAAAATTTAAAGAATTTCTCAAGGTCTTAAATGATATTAAAGCTCATCGGTATGAATTTTTTTCAACTCCTAATCCACGCAACAAACACACATGAGAACTATTTCTGATGTTACAAAGTCTCTTTGTAGAATTAACAAAGATAGCGGCATTGCAAGGATGACTGAACTCATTAAAGGGCACCCAAAGCTGCTTCGTGGTCTCAATGTCTTCCTTCCCGAGGCTAAGATAACCATCCCTACAAAGGCTAACAAAGGTTTAGGCCAATCTCAAACCATAGTCTGCTTAAAAGTATCACCGGAGCTAAGTAGACTTAATGCGCCTGCTTACATAGCTTCTGTGAAAGAGGCATTTCATAATGAACCTGAAAAATATAAAGAATGGATCAACATGTTGAAAGATTTTAGAGCTCTGAGGTATGAAATTATTTCTCCTGTTATTTTTGGTTTGCTCTTACTTTTAACTCGCAATTCTGCTAAACAACAAAACACACATTGTGAATTAACTCTGACGTTACTAGTCTCTTTGTAGAGTTGATGAAGCTAGTCTCATAGTAAAGGTGGAGGGACTCATGAAAAACCACCGGAATCTTCTTCTAGGTTTCAGCGTCTACCTTTCAGCTGGGACTAAGCTAACCATCCCTCCCGAGGCTGAGCAACATATTGCCCCGTCTGATAATAACAAACGAAAACGCGTTAAATGTGATGATCCAGCGATGATCAAGATTACGTCTGATAATAACAACAGAAAACGTGCTAAGTGTGATGATCCAGATTATGATCCGGATTCTGTGAAGAAGCCTAAGGTATATATAGAATGCTCAAATTATAAACTAATCCAAAGAAAATACCATTTTGATGATTCTTGTTTTGCTAACTTGTGATGAGTCTCCATTGAAGAAGCGAAAGAGAAAAGGAAAGAATGTGTCTCCACCTAAGAAAAAAGTGAAACTTAGCAAGCGCACAATACATTGTAAGAAATGTGGTCAAGAAGGGCACAATTCTCGTTCATGTGGTAAGAGAGCTCTTCAGGTTAGTCTCTTTCCATCTTGAGTTCAGTTTTGTGAGGAAAATTGCTCATATCTTTGTTTAATCTGGTCCTGTAAATTGTGTGAGATTGTTATATTGTTGCTGGCAAATGGTTGTGTTTTCAGGCTTGTGGAAGTAGTGGATCGCAGATGAAAGCATCTCAATCTCAGCGAAGTACTCATCTAGAAGACTAGAAGCAAGTGTGTGGACTTTTTTGTTTTTGTCTTCTTAGTAGGTTTTTTTTTGCCTTCTTAGTACGTAGTATAAAAAGTTTTGTGGCTCATATTTTAGTGGTTTTTTTCATTAAAGATGGGTTAAGGTTTTTGTGTGAAGTAACTGTTAGAAGCAGAACTCTCATCTTTGTTGCGTTGATCTATGATACTTATAAGTTCTAATGTTGAATTACATTACACATTGTCTTTCCAGTTTTTGGATTCATTTTACAACAATCTTGAAGCTTTAATTCAAATGATATCAAGCAACCTGAGTGATCATTGTTATATCTTTATCTCCTTAGAAAGGAATGAAGAATTATGAGAACTGGTAGATTTGGAAAAGTTTTCAGAAAAAGTGGCATATCTGACTAAATTCCCTTAATATTTTTTCTTCATATGTATAAAAACTTAAGAAAATTCATTGTTAAACTTGTGGTATGTGTATCTCATTTAAGTGAATTCATAAAACCAGTTTATGTAACAAGATGGCAGAAATTCAAAAATTTCTAAAGCAGATTCAGAAAATAAATCTCTAAGGATTTTTGTTTTTAAAAAGAAATCTTCAAAAATAGATTTATAAGCTTTTCTATGTAATTTAATATTAATTAATGACAAATTTTTAATTTTAAAAAGAATCAATTATGGTTTTGCCATTTTTTGGGATGACATTTGTGGATTTTGCCCTTTTTCAGGCTACGGAAATATGATTTAACATGCGTTTTATTCGTTATGTTTGGGTTTAGTCGGTTGTGGTTGTTCTTAGGGTTTAGTATTTTGTATAAACTACGTATTTTTACCAAAAAAAATCCAAAATACGTACATTTTTAAGTGTAAAAAAATGGCAAATCCGTAAGATTTTAATGAAAATGGCATTTTCAAAAGATTTTGATAAAAAAGGGCAAAATCAACAATAATCCCTTTTAAAAAATACTGGTTGAAGATAATTAAATTTATTGAATTACTAATGGTATAGAGATATGAAAAATGTTTAGTACCAAAAAATGGCATCCCTACAATTAAGCATTAATTGTTTTTCTTCATATGTATAAAACTTTTAGAAAATTCATTAGTAAGAAACAAATGTATTATTGAAAACAAAAAACCCTATATATGACGAAACCTTTATATAAGCAACACGAAATTCGAAAGATTTTTCCAGAAACTCGTCTCTCTTTCTCTCTTCGTGATCGTGTGGTGTAACGGAGAAGCTTGTTCTCCAAGCCTTTTTCGTTTTTTCTCTGCAAAATTCGGTAACAATTTCGTATTTTCTGGTTCACTGCTAGGGAATGTATTTAATTCCTTTTGTAGCTGCTGGCATGAGTTTGAATTAGATTTTTTTAATACATTTTTGTATCTGCGATAATATTTACATGCTGATTAGTTAAATCCGAGTGATGAAAGTTTGATCATCTTGAACCCTCAAATTAGATATGATTTTGGTTTGTTCCCAATAGAAGTGTTAAGCTAATCTCTAAAATCTATCTCACTTAATCCTCTCAAGCTCTTAATTGTGAATGGAGTTCTTCTATCTTTGGTTGAGAATGATATATTAAGACATATCTAATCCAGTGTTTCATTGAGTTTATGTTCCATGTGGTTCTTAAAAATAATGAAACAGTTTTTGTTGACTTTGGAAAGCAAACAATTGTTTTTTGATAATTAGCTTATTATATATTTTAAGGATTCAAAATCAATGGCGTGATATCTTTTGAGTTGCTATTTAACTTGAGGAATGAAAAATGTATGTTTTTAGGCACTCGCGGTTCTGTTTCTTGAAGAATTCCAAAGTCAATTTAAAGAAAAATTGATAATAGCTTTGAGATACTAGAGAAATTCACTGATGATCTAATATGTTTTAGTGAACAAAAGTTCTCTTTCTTTGAATACTAAAGGGTTTAGACCAAGTTCAAACCATGGCTGGAAGAAGAGTACCACCGGAGCTAACTATGGATGATTCGGTTGCATACCTCCATTCTCTGAAAGAAACATTTCATGATGAACCAGCAAAATTTAAAGAATTTCTCAAGGTCTTGGTTGATATTAAAGCTTATCGGTATGAATTATTTTCAATTCCTTATCTACACAACAAACACACATGTGATTTTGATTATGATGTTACTATAAGTCTCTTTGTAGAATCAATAAAGTTTATGGCATTGCAAGGATGATTGAACTCATTAAAGGGCACCCGAAGCTGCTTCTTGGTCTCAAAGTCTTCCTTCCCGAGGCTAACAAAGAATTATGCCAATCTCACAAGCGTATCACCAGAGCGCTACTTAAGGTTAATGTGCCTGCATAGCTGAATGCTCAAATTGTAAACTAATCCAAAGAAAATATCATTTTGTTAATATATATATATTTTTTTTGTAGAAGTAGTGGATCGCAAATGGAAGCATCTTCTTAGAGAACTACTCAAAAAACAGAAGAGTAGAAGCAAGCGTGTGGACTTTCTTTTTTTATGTATACTTTAGCAATACAAAAACATGTTTTGTGGCTCAGACGAACTGAGTTTATATCACTGAAAGTGACATTGAGGCCTTGAATCCAATGCTGGATGATATTAGGGTTTGTTTACATAAGTTTCACAAAAAAAAAAAAATCAATGGAATATTCTAGGTTCTGATTCTTTGAAGGATTCTTATTAGTCAACTTTCGGGGAGATTTAGATAAAAAGATTGCCGAAATCCAAAAAAAAAAAAACAATCTAAAATCTGAAACAAAACCCTAGAAGAACCTTTAAACAATCATTCAAGTCTCTCTATTCGTGATCGTATGGTGTAAAAGGAGAAGCTTGTTCTCCAAGCCTTCTTCTTCTTTACTCCGAAATTCGGTAATTTCTTTTTGTTTTCTGTAAATTTCGTTTTACGAATTTCTTCCAGGCTTGTATTTACTTGCTTTCAGGCGTAAAGAGCTAATCTTTAAAACCCATCAGACTTAACCCTGACAAGCTCTTAATTGGTGAATTGAGTTTCTTCTATATTGGCTGAGAATGAGAGATTAAAACATCAATCCAGTGTGGTTGATTGGTTTGCTCCGTTTGAATTGATTGCTTCACATGTATAGTTTAAGTGCCATGTGTTACTTAAAAGGGATGGATCATTTTTTTTTTGTCTTTGGAAGAGCATTTTTGAGAATTAGCTTATTATGGCTTATGATGATGATATTTTAACGATTCAAAATTCGCATCAGATACTAGCTAGAGAGATTCAATGATGATCTGATCTGTTTTAACGAACAAAAGTTCTCTTTCTTTGGATACTAAAGGGTTTAGGTCAATTTCACACCATGGTTGGAAGAAGCTTATCACCCAAGGCAACTATGGATGATGCGGTTTCATACCTTACTACTGTGAAGGAAGTATTTCATGATGAACCTGCAAAATTTAAAGAATTCCTCAAGGTCTTGAATGATATTAAAACTCATCGGTATGAATTATTTTCAACTCCTAATTCTACACAACAAACACACGTGATTTGATTCTGATGTTACTATATAAGTCTCTTTGTAGAATTACCAAAGATAGCGGCATTGCAAGGATGACTGAACTCATTAAAGGGCACCCGAAGCTGCTTCGTGGTCTCAATGTCTTCCTTCCCGAGGCTAAGATAACCATCCCTACCAAGGCTAACAAAGGGTTAGGCCAATCTCAAACCATAGTCTGCATAAGAGTATCACCGGAGCTAAGTAAGCTTAATGCGCCTGCTTACATGGCTTCTGTGAGAAAGGCATTTTCTAATGAACCTGCAAAATTAAAAGAATGGATCAAGATATTCAATGATTTTAAAGCTAACAGGTATGGAATTATTTTTCTCCTGTTATGTTTGGTGCTCTTACTTTTCACTCCCATTCTACTACACAACAAAACACACATTGTGAATTAACTCTGACATTACGTGTCTCTTTGTAGAGCTGATAAAGCTGGTTTCATTGCAAAGGTGAAGGAACTCATGAAAAACCACCGGAATATTCTTCTAGGTTTCAGTGTCTACCTTTCAGCTGGCACTAAGCTAACCATCCCTCCCGAGGCTGAGAAACATATTGCGCCGTCTGATAATAACAAACGAAAACGTGCTAAGTGTAATGATCCAGCGATGATCAAGATTACGTCTGATAATAACAAACGAAAACGTGCTAAGTGTATTGATCCAGCGATGATCAAGATTGCGTCTGATAATACTGATAATAACAAAAGAAAACGTGCTAAGTGTGATGATCCAGATTATGATCCGGATTCTGAGAAGAAGCTTAAGGTATATATAAAATGCTCAAACTGTAAACTAATACAAAGAAAATACAATTTCGATAATTCTTGTTTTGCTAACTTGTTGTGAGTCTCCATCGAAGAAGCGAAAGAGAAAAGGAAAGAATGTGTCTCCACCTAAGAAAAAGGTGAAACTTAGCAAGCGCGCAATACATTGTAAGAAATGTGGTCAAGCAGGGCACAATTCTCGTTCATGTGGTAAGAGAGCTCTTCAGGTTAGTCTCTTTCCATCTTGAGTTCAGTTTTGTGTGGAAAATTGCTCATATCTTAGTTTAATCAGGTGCTGTAAATTGTGTGAGATTGTTATATTGTTGCTGGTACTTGGTTGTGTTTTCAGGCTTGTGGAAGTAGTGGATCGCAAATGAAAGCATCTCAACCTCAGCGAAATACTTAACAAGTAGAAGATTAGAAACAAGTGTGTGGAATGTTTTTCTTTTTTTTTGCATTCTTAGTATTAAAGCTTTTGTGGCTCATATTTTAGTGGTTTTTTCACTAAAGATGTGTTAAGGTTTTTGTGTGAAGTACCTGTTAGAAGAAGCAGAACTCTCATCTTTATTGTGTTGATCTATGATTCTTTTAAGTTCTAATGTTGAATTACATTACAAATTGTCTCTCTGGTTTTTGGATCCATTTTACAACATTCTTGAAGCTTGATTGACATGATATCTAGCTACCTGAGAGTGATCATTGTTATATCTCTTCATGCTTTATAGGAACTTAAAATTTCGATCAAATTTAGAGATCAATGTTGGTTTCTAATCAATAAGTTAGTTGATGCTTGACTTACCCAATTTCAAGTGTATATCTTGTGTGTATTGAATAAGAGATGGTGTTATACATCACCACGGTCTAATTGATGAATATTGTGATCATCATTGGAATTTATAAATAGTTCAATACTAATGCGTGTACTCTCATCATACTCGATAAATTCCAATCACACGAAACATGTTTTATTGATCCCTGTTAACAAACAACAGATAAAAATATTTCTTAAAAACTTTCTCATTGAAGAAGGAACTCAGTTGTAGTGCACACAAGATGTAAAATTCTATTGGAGAAGTCAATAAAATGTCGTTTCTCGAGTTCAACATTTTAGAATAGATTACAGTTCCATTCCAGGCGATAAATTAACCAAGACCTGGTAAAAAGTGACAGGCTGAAATTAGTCCAAATTTCAATCCCTGCAACTCGAGAAATCTCTAATCTGCTTTTACAAGGACAAGCAGATTCTAAGTAAAGACAACAACATGCGAAAAGCAAGCATATCCACTTTTCGCTGGTCGATCAGATCTATAGACGCTTTTCGGGTTAGTAGCAACAAACCCTTTTTCGCTATTTCACTGACCGACACTTTTCACTGGCCTCATGTGCCAAAGAGTTGCAACCTTCGTCTCTCCAGCTCAAGCTGCGATAAAGGCAAAATTGCATTACTATCACACCCAAGGCTTGATTAATGTTACACCATTGAATGCAGGAGACTAATATATCACCAGAGGCTTTGACATTACACAATGAACTGAAAGGTGATGCTTACCACTTTCTTGACTCGGTTGTTGGCAGCATCAGTTCCTCCAAAGACACAATCTGAAAGATACGGGCTACGAACGCGTACCTCTTTCATCACCAGAATGTCTGAGTTTTCCCATTGCACAGGAAGCCTACAAGGAAAATAATTCACATGTGATTCATTATTTGAAAGAGAAAAAGTAAATTCTGCTGTTTCCTCTTAACTGACATTAGAAACAAAGAAAATTTTAGGATTTAAAACTATGTATCTAGACAGCTTCTTAATTGTATCACAGAGAACACTAAAGATACTTGACACTAGAGCACACAACATTAGTCTACAACAACAAAAAATAGAAACTTTGCATATATATAGTTGCAAAGCTAGCATCACTGGAAACCTAGAGCCAATACAACACTAAATCATGTCCAGATTCCAACAATTTATCTTTGGCAATAACACATTAGAAGCTCAAACTAATTCCTTCAAACCAAGCAGATAATTACAAAGAGCTAATACTTAAACTAAACATGTGATTAAGATCTCTTTCCCATCTCTCTACCGTATAGCTAAAATAGACTCATGATCACTCTTAAGCTATTTTTCGATCCGAAAACGAATAAAAAGAGAAGATCCTTACGTCTTAGACAACGCGTCGAAGATGCTCTGAGCCTCAGCGGTAACACCAACTCCCATTCTCTCAGCATCTGCTTCCGCTTGCCTGTGTTCAATAAGTAAGCTCAAAATAAGCAAAAATCAATAAAAATTGCATTTTGAAAAGATTCAATAACAACAAAATATCTTATCACCTGATAGCAAGTGCCTCTTTAGCTCGGAGACCATTAAGATCAACAGAAAAGTTGTCTGTATCAAGTGGATCTTCGGTTTTGCCTAAATACGAAAGCCCTGTAATAAAATTCGCATTCACCATCCGAGTGTTCTTCGAATGCCCAGGTCTAGGTTTTGTTCCTTCTTGTAAAAAACCAATCAAGGATTCCACAAATTCATTTCAAGACATTAAGAATCCCTAAATCTCAGATTTTGATGAAACAACCAATTAAGAAACATCGAAGGATATCAAAAAAGACGAAGTTGGGGATGGGGTCGTAAGCCATGACGATCCCTCGGAACTCATCGCCGGTGATCACCTTCACTGAATAAATATTCCCCACCGAGAATTTCTCTCCTTCTCCTCCAATATCACTGGCCACCGATGCTCCTCCTGCTGGATCCATGGCGGCCGTCCTCGCTCCTCCTCCGTCTTCTGAAATCGCCGAGCTTCGGAAAAATTAAACTATATATATCGCGATATGGGCCTTAAGCCCAAATACTTACTGGCTTATAACAAAACGCTGCGTTTTAAGGATTACTTATATACACTGTATCAATATGGGCCATTGGGCCCAATAATTAATGAGCTTCATGGTAAATTCAAAACGCAACGTTTTATATAGATTAGTGTCAGTTACTTCATCCATTTTATTTCGTTATAACAGATTAGCGAATACTGAACCACCACCAAATCGGAGAGAAAGATAATCGTCTGTGTGTGTCAATGGCGGCCTTAAGCATCTCACTCGCTTTCTCTGTTGATTCTCTTAAACCAAGCCAATCAACGAAGTTTGGCTTCTCGTCTTCTTCACCTAGATATCCATTACTCTATTCGTGTAGATCTCACCGCTCCAATCTCAGATTCGCTTTTCCTCCTTCTTCGGTTTCGACAGCTACAGAAACTGGAGAAGAAGCTACGAAACCTACCGGAAGCTATGCGTTTCTCGAGGAATCGTTTCGAACTGGGAGGTTTTTGAGTAACGATGAGTTAGAGAAGTTGAAAACTCTAGAAGGATTTGCGTATTTTCAGGAGCTTGAATCTGGATCGATGTGGGTTCGAGTTATGAGACATGAAGAGATGGATTCAACGGTGCATCTATTGGCTGAGTCATTTGGTGAATCGATGTTATTACCTTCTGGTTATCAGTCTGTGTTACGGTTTTTGGTTAAGCAGTATTTGATTGAGAGGAGAGAAGTGTTGCCACACGCAGTGACTTTAGTTGGGTTCTTTAGGAAAAAAGTTGATGGGTTTAGTGATGATGGAGAGGAGGCTGTGATGGCTGGAACTGTTGAGGTTTGTTTGGATAAACGAGGCGCTAATGCTTCGCCTCCTTCTCCAACTCCTCCTAAGGAATCACCTTATATTTGTAACATGACTGTGAAAGAGGATCTTAGAAGGTATTTGGCTAATCTCTCTGTGTGTATGCCTTTAAGAAGCTTTGTGTTGTTATTCTTGTTGATTTCGTTTATAAGAGAGTTTGTGTTGTGTTTGTTAGGAGGGGAATTGGGTGGCATTTGTTGAAGGCGAGTGAGGAACTGATATCTCAGATTAGTCCATCAAAAGATGTATACTTGCATTGTAGGATGGTGGATGAGGCTCCTTTCAATATGTACAAGAAAGCAGGATACGAGGTTGTTAAGACAGATACTGTTTTGGTCCTTTTGATGTTACAGCGGCGTAAACATTTGATGCGCAAGAAGCTTCCACTATGCACCACCCCTACAGTAGAAATGGTGGGGTCTGATAATGAGCTGACCTCCTCTGCAAATGTGTAAACATGGGTACAGTTTTTCCATCTGTGTACCAATTAGGTTTTTGTGTTTGTCTACGTTGTCTGAATTTATAACAAAAATTCTGATTGGCTTCATCATGTAGGAGCTAAATGTGACATGACCAAGGGTGCGGGTTGATAATCCCGTTTGCTTCAACCTATTGTTTATATGATCTTAGTAGAGGTACTTTACACGCACTCTTATCTTTGTTATCTGCTTCCAGTATTGGCAGCAATTGTTTTTCTTGTTCATATACATGTGGTCAATTCTTTAGGCATTAGGCGAAAGAAGGAAAGAAAAAAAAGGCTACACCCCTGAATATATATATACACTCATTTCTCTTCAAGCAACACATTCATAGCAAATACAACATACTATACAAATACATCTATTGCTTGATCCGATTTTCTTATTGACTTTATAGTATATACATCCAAATAATATCGCTTGATCAAAGTTTAGTGGCTGGAAGTTGAATATAAATTTTCCGGTAATTCTTAATTAGGAATTTAGGATTGTTTGGTTATATTTATCAAGTTTTTAATCAGTGACCTCTCATTTTAGGAAAAATGACAATAATCCATATTACTTGTTTCAAAGAATTCAGTGTCTAGAGCCTTCTGAATGTGGGAATCGTCCCACTCAAACCACCCTTCGAGTTTGTGTAGATAATTAGTTGCAGTTCCTTAACACAATCCATCACTGAAGGCCGCTCTTTACTCTCTATACGGATGCACCGTGATGCTAGATCAGCAAACATAGCTATAGCTTCCATGCTGTATGAATTCCGAGGCAGCTCGGCATCTATAACCTTACGCAATTTCTTTCTATCATTCAGTATATTCCTAACCTGAAACGTAGAGAAAATTAAGTATTTTATTCCTATGTTAAGTTTCCTGATCTGTGAAACTTTTGTGTTTGTGAATCTTAGAACCTATGAGGTCTGTTTTACCTGTAGCACCAGGTTCTGTTCATTTGGGCCCTGAGTTAAGTCAACTGCTCTGCGTCCAGTAAGTAGTTCTAGAAGCACAACCCCAAATGCATAAATGTCGCTTTGTAGAGTAAGTTTACCTGTCTGCCACAGAAAAATGGAAAACAAGTTATGCTAAAAACTGTACTTCCTTGCTTATGGTTCTGATATGTGAGTGTAATTAAAGTTACTATTCCAGGACATTTCATGTTATTATTAGTGAGTTTTCAATTTAGTTAAGTAGCGTCTAGTGAACCCTTTGCCATCTCATCATTTTCATTTACAGGAAGTATATCATGCGAAGATATAGGTAAGAATATTTTACCGATGTATATTCTGGGTCGAAATAGCCAAATGTTCCTAGAACTCTTGCTGTCACACAAGTATCCTTTCCTTCTGGCATCAACTTTGCTAGTCCAAAGTCGGATATCTGCAAGGATAGATTCACGTCTTAGTTCTACTTTATGCTTGATATTAGTGCTGCATAAACCATCCATTTAATTTACTGTGTAATCACCTTTGCATCATAGTTGGAGTCTAGTAGAACGTTGGTGGATTTGAAATCTCTATGAACAATTGGAATCCCAACAGAAGAACTTGAATGTAGATACGCGAGTCCTTTTGCTGCTCCAAGTGCAATTCTGAGCCTTATTGGCCAGCTTATTTTTGCTTCTTTTATTCCTGTGAGAAAGACGTGGTTCAGTCACCAATTGCCTTTACTGGACTTGACTCTTATTTCATGGACTTACCATTCAAATGATCTTGCAGGTTTCCATTTTGCATATATTCATATACTAGGAACCGGTGTTTTCCATCTGCACAATAGCCAATCAATGATACCAGATTTGGATGGTCGAGTCTGCTCAAGATATCCACCTCCACACGAAATTCTCTTTCTCCATCAGCCTTTTTAAACGTAGGTAAATCCATCTTCTTGATTGCAACAACCTTCAAATAACAAGGGATCAAGATAATATGTATCCAACTCTAATAGCTCCTCTTCCATAGAAAAGTGTTTGTAACATTACAAAGCCTGTAAATCACATAAATGAAGCAATATAGTTCCTACCTCTCCTGTTTTTAGAGTGCCTTTGTATACTCGACCAAAGCCTCCTTTGCCGAGGAGATTCTCATCGCTGAAAGAACTTGTGGCCTCCTCCATCTCCTTGAGGGTATAAACTGATGACCCGAATCTTCGCTTCCTTGGCTGAGACGCTTGATCTTCGATTTGCCAGCACTCTGCTGTTCTGTAGACCCCTGAGAATCAGGTTAGTTTCACACAGATGATTCAGTTTCGCCAAAACCCTTTTTATTCACTAGTAGTAATGTCGAAACAAAAATGATAACATACTTTTATGCCATCTGGCGAAGATGATGGAGAAAAGGAACGTACATGGATCCGTATCATAAGATTTGCTTCTCCGTCTCTTGTTCCAAGCCGAAACAAGAGGAAAATGCATAGCTTTAGTTTGGATTTGGTTTTTTCTTATGCTTCGTAGATGCCAGAGACCATTCCAAAGCCAATAGAAGAAGCTTCTGGTCTCGTCCTTAAGACAGAAGAGGGCGTGTCTTTGTAGTCGTGAATATATCCTTTGTAAGTTAGTTGCTTCCAAAGAAACAGAAGATTGTTGTAGTTGAAGATGATAAATATAGAGTGTAATAAAGTTAATTGATTTTGAGGGTTAGGTTTCTGAAATACTCAACAGCAGTATTTCAACTACCGAAGTTTTCATTCAAGAGAGAGAAAGAGAAAGAGACGGTAGAGCTAAAAAATACGTAGATTACATGTACGTGAAGCAAAAGAAAATGAGAGCCATCTTGAGAAACTAAAGACTTGATGTTTCTTTAACGCTTTAAGGTCAAATTCTCGGTTTGGTTCTCTTGTCTGAATCTATCTCCTTCTAACCAGTTTGTGTACTTACGTATCTCTGTCCATCAAATAGAGATGAGAAGCTGCTTTCAGAGTGTTTCCTTACCCTTTTCGTTTCAATTGCTATTAACTAATGTTGTTTTCATAGTTCGTTGAGGGATAGAGATTATATAATTTTAAATTTATAAGTGGCTTGTTAGAAGAAAACCTATAATTTTCTTAAAAGCAATCTTAGTTTTATAATAAGCTTGTCAAATCCTAGGATACTGTAATTTTAACGTATCCAATTGTATATTAAAGATTTGGGTTCCGATGAAATTTTGCTTCAAATAGAAATGATGACTCATTTAGAACCTTGTTATTTTAAGATTGCAGAGTGGTTGCCGTTTTAAATCAAAGGAAAACAACATGCTGTTTTTCTCGCACAATTGTGAAACAAAAGTACCTAACGATGAAGATATTGTTTTGGCTTTATTGCACCTAACCATGCCACCAAGAACATTATTGTACAAAATTTAGAGCAAAAACATTCAGATCTTTATCATTAGAGAGTTTTATTCCTATGAAATTTTTTTTGCAATTAATAAGTTGTTATGTTTGAATAATTGTGTGACGTGAACGTTTACTGATTTATTTTTTATAAATACATTATTTATAACCATTTAAACCTCATCATGTTTCACATGTTGGTCCACAGTTATTATGAGAGGTCATAAATGAGAAGCAATTATGTAAAATGTGCTACTTCACTTACTTGGTTCTTTGTTGAACGATTCAAAAGATAGTTGGGGTCAATGGTAATCTCACACAATCGATCTGAAGAAATACGAAAGTGACACTTCTATCATCTCTAGACCATAAAAACTCTATATGATAAATAGTTTTTCAAATATATCAAACTTAATTGAAAGACTGATTATCATCATTATTATTAGCTGGCAAAGCTGCTAAGAAATTTTGATCTACAAACCTTGAAAGAGGAGAAATCGATTATAGGTTATCTTCAACTTCATTTTCGTTTGCAATTAATCAAGTGCTACAAAGGGTAGATATAAAATCATGTAAAAATATGAAAAAGTTGAAATATTTTTGTTTTCTCAAAATTAAAATCCATGATAAGAAAAAAAAAATAGTGCAACCATGCATAAAACTAACATCTATATTTTTGTTTTCTCAAATTAAAATCCATGTGTTTTTTCAAAAAAACATTTATCACCGACAGAAATATTATTTTTAAGTAGTACAAATTTTTTGGTTTATTTATCTATTGACCATTTGTATTTTCTTTGTACTGAAAGTTAAATCATGCATCAATTTAGTGATTCACCCACCTCCTTGAGTGGGTGAGATAGCAATGAAGAATGGCAAATGCATATGCTTTTGGTTAATTGTAAAAGGACCCATAGGATGAAAAATTGGTTGGATGATTTGCTCCTAATAGTTAATGCAGTTTATCATATCACTAAAGGCTTCAAAACCTCTCTATATATAGACACGTTCATTGACAAGTTATACAAACAAATCATTCAAAGACATACAAATAATAATTGAGCTTTTTTGTAAACTAGAAAAATGGGATTGAGTGGTGTTCTTCATGTGGAGGTTGAGGTTAAGTCTCCGGCTGAAAAGTTCTGGGTAGCCCTCGGCGACGGCATCAACCTCTTCCCCAAAGCTTTCCCTAACGACTACAAAACCATCCAAGTTCTAGCCGGAGATGGCAACGCTCCTGGCTCCATTCGCCTCATTACTTATGGAGAAGGTACATTGTCTCATTATTTCTTTAATTTGTAACCATTAATAATTCATGTTTCGAATAATTACCTAAATGGCTAAATTGATTGGAGAGAACCATAAATCTTGTCGTACCAAAGATTGAGTACTACATTCAGGAAGACATTTATTTTTCAAAAAACCAATTGTGGTTCTTGACCGGAAGAGATGTATGTATTAAAGATTATAATAAATGAATCATTCATGTTACTTAATGGGCTATATAACTCAGTATGAACCCTAAATGCTCTATGCCCTCATCGACTATCTTTCACCATATCTTTATTCAAAAAATGTTCATTGCTTCTATTCTTAAACGTATATATAGGATCTCCACTGGTGAAGATATCGGCTGAGAGGATCGAAGCAGTGGATTTGGAGAACAAAAGCATGTCGTACAGCATCATTGGCGGCGAAATGTTGGAGTACTACAAAACTTTCAAAGGAACCATCACCGTTATTCCTAAGGATGGTGGTAGCCTTCTGAAATGGTCCGGTGAGTTTGAGAAGACCGCCCATGAGATTGATGACCCGCACGTCATCAAGGACTTTGCTGTCAAGAACTTCAAAGAGATAGATGAGTATCTCCTTAAGCAATCTAGTGCCTAAAACTAGAATCTTTAGATTATGTAAGAGGGTTTCGATCGTTTCTATATGATTTTCCTAAGTATGAAGTTAAATAAACTGGAACCTCTTTATGAAACATCCACGTTTATGATTGCGGAGTTCGATTTTTGGTGTATAGGCACGTTACGTATCTTTCAAGATACATGTATATAATATGCCCATGAATAATAGTATTATATATATAGTTAAGAGTGGAGGGCTTTCAGATCTCGGAGTGGTTCAAGCCGCTCATAGAAACCATCATCGACAGTGACGTGATCAATGGACAAAACCCGGATTTCTACAAGAAGCTTGAAGGAACCATGACCGTTATTTACACGGAAGGCAATGAAGGTGGCCGCGCGTGCGATATGGATATGGACGGTGCAGTATGAGAAGATTAACGATGACATTAAGGACTCACAATTCATCGTCGACACTAATACAAAATACTATCAGGAGATGGATGAGAGAATCTTCTTAAATCTCTAGAAATATCTGAATAGTTAAATAATTAAAGTGGAGCCCCATATATATTAAATAAGAAAATATGGACATGGCAATTCACTACAAGAAATCTATAATGTAAAGTCACTTAATTAACGTTACTTTAGAAAATGACGTAAAGTTGTTTAAAAAGAAGGGATCTAGAGTCGGTTTAGTAACCGACTGCAAAAACCAACGCAAATATGATTCAAATTAGTGGGCTATTTTTTTGACAGATTTAATTTGGTGGGCTATTATTGGAATTAAAGCCCAACCACTAAAGACTTAGTGAAAACACCATTCTTCTTCGGAGAACATACGAGCATCTTCTTCTCCGAAGCTTCTCAAACCCAGAAAATACGAGCATCCTCTTCTTCGAAGAACTTCAGTGTCATCGAACAAACCATGGGGTTTTTCGTTTCTATGAATTTCTAAGTAGATTTCAAGCGTTCGTCAATCTCAATAGATCCCGAATCGTTCATCGATCTCATCAATCGCGATTTGATTTTTTCTCGCCGACTCCAAAATTCAAGGTACCATTCACTTGCTCCCTCTAGATTGATTGTCGACTATTAGCCTATTTGAGATTTGTGTTTGTTTTATTGAAGTTTTGATTATGCTATGGTTCTCGAAAGGAAAAAAACTAAGAGACTTTAACATGAACATTAACATATCCTTGAAAGAGATACTGAAGCTCTTAGTTGCTTCATCAAAGAATCTGAACAACACACACAATTCATCATGTTTTCCTTGTTTGCTTCTTGCGTGAGTGAAATTGATTCTGGATTTGTATTTTACTGATGAGCATTGAATTTTGTTTAACACGTTTGATTGATTATAATATATCTCAGTGATGTGCTGTGAGTGTTGTGAGATATATAATTATACATGTTTTGATTCTGGATTTGTATTTTACTGATAAGCATTGAATTTTGTTTAACACGTTTGATTGATTATAATAACATGTTTGTTGCTTCTGGATTTTGTCTCAATAAGAATATATGTTTAACTGATATTTTTATGACTCCATGAGTTATCGATACTATGTTTGTGGTTTCCAATTTCCATTTCTATGGAAGTTAGAGTGTGTTTGTTTATTGATTGAACTTGTATAGTTTCAGAATTGAGAATGGACAAGTCTTGGATTACAAAACATCGTATATCTCAAGACTATATAAGTGGAGTCAAAGATTTTTTAGATTTTGCCTTTGGTAATATTAAGGCAGATATGATAAAGTGTCCCTGTCAGCGTTGTTGTCTTGTTAAACACAAGATTAGGACTGAGATTGAAGGCGATTTAATCTGTCATGGTTTTTTACCTACATACACAAATTGGTATCTCCATGGTGAAGAGTTAGATTTTCAAGAGCAAAGAGGGAGATCAGAAGCTGAATCTGAGGTTCGTGGTTAGGCTCACTAAGTAATGATCTTAATATAATACCTATTAATTACACCGATTGGAGGAAAGTTCCCAACTACAGAAAAGAGATGGCTTGGAAGGTGATTCAGGTACTTTTGATAACTACCTTCTTTTATCATAGTTTTGAGTGTATTCTTTGATATAAAGAATGAAAAAAGCAGACTAGCTTGTAAATATGTATATTTAGGTACGTTTGTTAACCACCTTCTTTTATTACAGTTTTGTGACATGTGTGCTAGAGTTACGTGACTTGTGTGCTAGAATGCAGCCAGAAAAATAGGATTCCATGTGTGGATTACTTTTTAAACTGCTAAAAGTTTTGAAAATGTTTCATGAGTTTCATGAGTTTTTTGTGTTTACTTTTACATAAACACAGAAGAAGTTTTGGTTTGATGATCCAAGAAGGAGGAGGAAATATACTTTATCTGCTTTAGGAGGTAGATGTCGAGACTTGAAGCAACGTCTCTGGAAAAAGTATAGAAGAAATACTCTAGAGGAATCATTTGATGTGAGACCAGGACTGATTCCAGAAGATCAATGGAAAGAGTTTGTGGAAATGCAATTCAGTGATAAGGCTAAGGTAAAACTTATAGAACATAAATTTGTACTACTTTTATATATACATACATCACATATAAATAACTATGTACTATTGTGTTAAAATTTTGCAATTATAGAAAATGAGAGAGCGTAATATTAAAAGTCGAAGCAAACTTAAGATACCACATGCACTTGGAAAAAAGAGTTTAGCCAGAAAGTCTAATGAGATGGTAACTTTAGTCTCACAAACTTATATCAGATTTACATTGCATTATATAGTCTTACGGTTCTGTTTATTCTTATGAATTCTTTGCAACCATAATTTTTAGGAAGAGGTGTCGGGCATAGAACCAAATCGAGCTGAACTTTTTATTGCATCACGAACTAAGTCAGATGGAAGTTTAGTCTGCAACGAAGCAAGAATATCGGTGGTAAGTCTCAGTCTCTTTTTAGAACACGTTCTCTGTCTCTTTTTAAAATATGATAGTGATTCTCTGTCTCTTTTTTACATTTGATGTCTCTATGGTATGTTTTAGTGTGCAACACATCAAGAATTTTTGTGGTAAATTCTCTGCCTAAAATTATTTTGCAGGATAAGCTTTCACGAGTAATGAGTCAGAATATACAAAATGAAGCACCAAGTAATGAGTCTAGACCAAATGATGTATTTGAGCAAGTGTTTGGTCCTGAGCATCCAGGACGAGTTCGATGTGCCGGACATGGAACAACACCGTCCAAGTATTTCTTAAATATGGAATCTACTACGGCTAATACTGAGATTATAGATATTAAGGGCCGCATGAAAGGACTCGAAGATAAAGTAGAGATCCTGACTAATGCTCTTTACGCTCTTGTTGGACCAAGAAATCATTTTCAAGTAATGTACAATCTCTTTGTGAACTTGAAGTTATCATTTCCTGCAGATAACATAAAGTGAATTTTTTACAGGTAAATGCAGTAGGTGGGAACTCAAAGTTTAACACCAATCTTCATCAATCATCTAGTGTTAGCAGTGACCAGGTAATAAAATTATATGTATCTTCAGGATAACACTTAAAGTAGCTTTATCTACAATTTATCTACAATTTCAGGAAAGTAACATTTCAAAGACTGGAATTTGAACTGAACCAGAGTCATTTGATTTGGATTTCATTTGAAACAGGTATGTTTATCATTGTATAGTTCAGAACTTCATATTGATTTAGGAGAAATTAATGTCATAGTTAGACATAGAATCCAAACGTTTGGTGTTATCACAGTCTTGATAAGACATAGTAATTTGCTTTAATAAATTGTACTTCGTGAGATTGCTGTCAAAAAGAAAACATAGTCATTGAAATGATACTAATGGAGATCATGAAAAACTGAGACTCTGCTGTTATTTTTTTCCTGGTTACTGATTATGGCTACTTTGTTTTTATTTCAGGTCAGATATGCTTATTTCTCTTTCAAGAATTGGTGTGCAGTGACATTTCTATATGTATACCAGACAATTTCTATTCTACTTATATTCTGGGACATAGTTATGGTGACATTTATATTCCGTGTAAAATTGAATATATTTTATTAATTGAATTTTATGTGTATCTTTTCTTGGTCAAAGAATTATTATGTGTTATCTTTTGAAATTTACTAATTATATATGTGTATATATATATATACATATTATATTAATTGAAGAAAAAATAATTATAAATGAACAATAGTTACGTCGGTTTTATAAGTGACATAAACAAATGAGATTTGACTTTTGAGTCGGTTATTAAACCGTTGTTAGATTTAGTAAAACCGACGCATGTTTTCGACGTAAAAGAAAACGTCACTTTTAAAAGTGAAGCTAATATAATTAACGTCAAACGATGTTACGACGGTTATTAAACCAACGTCAACTTGTTAAAGTCAATTAATAACTGACGTTAAAGTCATTAATAACTGACGTAAAGTGCCGCATTTTTTGTAGTGATTTTCTAGAGAAACGAATTGAATTATCAAGAATAAATAGAAATTAAAATATATAAGAATTAATTGAATCTCCATAACAGAAAAAAAAAACAATAGAAAATTCTAGACAATTCAATTCATATATACATGCAAAGATTTGCGTTGGTTATTCGAAAAAGTCGAAGAAAAATGAAAACGTTGCCCTAAGCCCATAAGTCATGGTTCTAATTACATTACTCATTGGCAAAAGAAGCTCCAATTCTCTACTATCACATGCAAAGAGGAAAACACCTGGACGACGCAACTCTCAACATATATTATTTATTTATTTTGTTCGCTTGTTTTCCAAGGGAACAAAATATATTTAGCAGAAATTGAAAATATATATACACTTAAGAATTAATATAATCTCTATGTTATAAGAAAAACATAGGCAACTCTAGGCTCTCGGGCCAAAAGATAATTATTAGCAAATCACGCATACTCTTCCAGTAATTACTTTAATCCGGAGAGACTACCAAATTTTTCTTATGGTTGATAAAAAATACATTATCAATCATTTGCAAATACAATATGAAAATTCAGTTACCTAACTGGATATCAATAAATATTATCTTGAATACATTTTCAACTAGCCAAGTATAAATTTTGTTACTCAATTTTGTTTTATAATTTTTTCAATGAATTGTAAAGTGATTGAAATTATATATAGTTGGTTATTAAAAAAGAGTGGAGCGTTTTCTGAAATATTCGATGATGTTCATTAGTCAAAAGAACTTGCATTTCATCAAATACCCACATTGGTCCACATATATGATGATAGTGATTTTTTATTTTATTTTTAATTTTTTGAAAGATAGTAATTTTCTTCTTCTTGAAAAGTAATCAATTGCGTAAGGTTCGAGTTTTTTGCTAAATTAAACTCTTCACAATTCATATACTCTTATCTACGTAGGCAATTGCTTTAATGTAACAAACTCATCTTAAACCACTTGGCATAAAGGGGTTTGGTTTGCTCACGCGACTCCTAAACTCTCCTTTTGCCTCTGGCTGGCGCTGAAAAACCGGCTATCGACGGGCGACAGAATGCAGACATGGAACAACGGCGCTTCTGTAACGTGTGTCTTCTGCAATGATCCCTTGGAGACTCGTGATCATCTATTCTTCTCTTGCCAATACACCTCTGAAATATGGAAGGCCCTTGCTCAAAAGATTTTCAACTCACGTTTCTCTATGGAGTGGCAGCAGGTTGTTGAATACATCGCAGAGACTCAACATGATCGAATTCATAGTTTCTTGGCCAGAAATATCTTCCAACTCACAGTTCATACCATATGGCGAGAGAGGAACGCAAGACACCATAGGGAAGATCCACGTCCTGCAACCACACTCATCCGATGGATCGACAAGTACGTTCGCAACCAACTCTGCGCAATTAAATTAGTGGGAGACCGAAGGTATGACCAAGCCTTACAAGCATGGTTTGCCTCTCAAACTTGAAGCCAAACGGATTACTCAACCACCAAGAATACTCTGTTTCTCGTCAAATGCTCTGTTTTTAAACTTTGATCTCAAAATATTTTTCTGCTCTCATATTTTAAAACAACGCTGATGTAAAAAGTATATTTTTTTCTTGAATATAATTTAACATTTTATTCAAAAAAAAAAAAACCACTTGTGAGTCATAAAGTAGATTATATAGGTGTTGTAATGAGTCATAAACAATTCAAAATTTCTTATATGTTAATAATGCATGCATTACCATTTTGGGGATTAACAAATTTGATGAACACACACAAAGTCTCATTTACAACGGAACAATCACTTTCAGTACGATTATTGACTCAAACCATAGAACTTTTGTTTTTTTCATAGTTTAACACCATTTGAGTTTCGTCACGTTCCCATCGGTTGATAATTATATTTCTCTAGCAATGAGAAAAATCAATTACGATAAATAATATTTGGTATTCATTTCACAATCCATTGGTCAAATCCACTGTAAATTCATCATCGGTTGGTAGTCACATGTTCTTAAAAATGTTTTATAGTAATTGCTTGGTTGGAGGTAATTGAGATTTTTTATACATTACGCATATGAAAAAATCACGAGTTACTTTTCTTGTTTCTGCATGTTTTTTTTAGCCTGCCATGCAATGAATTAAGTAATTGAGTGGTTGCGTAAAACGAAAATGCTAAAACCTTTGGTTTAAGTTGGAAAGATTCCCTCTGGTGAAAACTGAAAAAGATAGGTACGTAGTGGGGTTAGGTAAAAATTGTTAATGTGATTTACATATGTAGAAACAACTTAGTTGAGAAGAACTTTCTAAATAAAATATTTTTTTTTTTATTTTAATTAGAGAATGGCACTGAATATGACTAGTATATATATGCATTGCCATTGAGATGAAATCTCTACATTTTAGTTTCTTCATCAAAAGCTTTACAAGAAATACTTATCTTTCTTTCTTTTTTTTTTCATCTTTTCGTTTCTAATTAACGAAATGAATGCTGATGGGGCAAATGCAGTGATTGCAATCAGTGGCGGAACCAGAAATTTTGTTTATAGGGGTTATTTAATTAATTTATTTAATTATATATTAATATTTAATGATATATTCAAAATATAAATTATTGTTTAAATGGTTTAGAGAAATTTATTTTTCACCTAAAACTATAACTAAGTTTTAAAATATGTTTTTTAAAATGCTTCATTTTTGAATAAATGATACACGTAGTTCATATTTTTATTTTACTTTCAGTTATGTTAAGTATTTTTCTCAAAATAAATTTTTATCAAATCTATAGTATAATGTGGAGATTAATTAGTTGTTGTATTTATCTTGATTTATGACCTTTTACAAAAATATATGTAAGAATTTTGAAAAGAAGGTAGGAAAAAATTAAACAGGATATCTAATAAGAATAAAATTATCAATATGTAAGAAGATATTAGATATTTTATAAGCATTTCTTAGGAAAATACAAAACAAAAATGCATGTGGAAATTATTTTGAAGGAACGGCCAGAGTTCTTAGCAACAACGAGGAAGTGATCGATGCTATCACACTTCTCCTCGGATAAGTTGTGAATTTGGGGAGGGATGTTAGATATTCGGTTCTTTTGCTATATATGTATGTCTTACGTTTGTCAATAATTTCCTAGTCTCTGGGATAATCTATTCTGTTCAAAGGGTAGAGTTTGTTCTTTGTTTTCAACTTATTAATTAAGGTATTCTCTATTGTTTTATGTAAAGGCTATGCATAGCCCTCTTCTCTTACTAAATAAAATCATCCCTTCAGCTTCTTCACGTTCTCAAAGTCTCTTAGAATTACAAAGTTGTGTTCAGTGAGCATTTACTAGCCACAAATTAACAATTTCGAATGAATAGATATTTTGATTGATAATTTCACTATATATATATATATATATATATATATATATATATATATATATATATATATATATATATTATTAGCAAATCACACATACTTATATTCAGTACTTCTAAGAGAAATTGTTAAACATACCCTTTTTGGTGTGCCCCTTTTCAAAAATGCCCCTTTTAGATGTCCATTTTCAAAAATGCCCCTTTTTAAATCTGAAATTTTTATAAAGTTTTATTAGGTTTATAAGGTACTTATGGATTGTAACTACTACTTGAAGACTCGATCCAAGTATTTATAAGGTTTTATAAGGTGTTTTTAAAGGTTTTACAAGTTATTTTAAAGGATTTTTAAGGTTTTTTAAGGTTTTTCAAAGGTTTTACAAGATATTTTAAAGGTTTTTAAAGGTATTTAAAATGCATTTATAAGGTATTTATAAAGTATTTATAAGATTTTAGATACATAGAAATGTAGTTTGTGTATGTTTTAATAATATTACATACATATTTGGGTAAATCTTATATTTTTAAGAGCATTTTTTATAAGATTTTAAAAAAGGGGTATTTTTGAAAAAGGATATTGAAAAAGGGGCATTTTTGTGAGTCTCCCTAATTCTAAAGGAACTATCAACTTTTTATTTTTAAGTAATGAAAATTCATAATTTATTGTTTTAATATTTTATGAAAATTAATTAAGTTATTCAATTACATATTTATAATTATAGTCTCTAATATATATCACTCAAAGCTTGTAATATATCTGCCTATTTTTCTCAACTTGTTTTCTTGGAAAATTTTGTAAGGCATACAAGTTTTGAACCAGCCTTTGTATCCATTCAATCTAGTTTAGTAAACTCTTCAAGAGAAAAAAGATAGTCTTGCATAAATTTCTTAATAATTTTGTTTTATTATTTATAATGTATCGTAATTGAATCTAAAGTTGTTTTATTTTTTAATATTTAAAACCGAAAAACAAATAATAAAGTTGTTTCTTCGAGTAAGTTGAGTGACTTCCTTTATCAAAAAAAAAGTTGAGTGACTTAAGCTTAATTCCTGATATTTATTTGATGATATACATTAGTCAAAACGACTTCCTTTTGATCAAAAACCTATTCGTCCACATAGTCACATTTTTCTTCTTGAAAAATACTAAATATGAATCTGTGGTTCGTGTTTCTTGCTAAATTAAGCAGGTGAACAATACTAGTTCTTCACAATTTCTATTTTCTTCCAGGTAGCCGGTTGGTGTTCACTTTAATTTAACAGACTCATCTTGAATAAAATTACAAATTGAGTCATAAAGGGAAAATAGACAGATGTTGGATCATGATTCATGAACGATTCACCGCACCAAGTTATGATAATTCAAAACCTTTTTATTTATCTCATTATACCTCTTTCTCAAAAAGGAAATAAAAAGAATCAATTACGTAACACGTTATGCTTAGTTCAACTTCAAGTTAAGGGAATAAGGATTCTTATTTCTTAAATAATCGTTAGTTTTTTTTTTGGTTGAATGATTTTCTCTAATCCAGTTAATCGCTAGATGTGTTACAAAAAAATAGACAGATCAATATTCGGGTTGCATGCTAAAAATAATTGCAATTATAGGTTGCTCAGTTTGTGTAAGTTGAGTAACTAGTGACTATATTGATTTTATTTCATAATAATCATTAGCCAAAACCATTTTAAATTCATTACATATCTTCAATTCATAATGCTTGCTTAAACCCTAATTGACTGCTATATGTTTCACGAGATAATATACTTTGCTAGCTTAGTTGAAGTGAATTAATCCATTGGGTAGATGCTATCAATTTGGCCTGCATTATTTATTTACCCTCCTTGTGTACCACATTAGATAATTAAGTGGGTGACGCAAAATACAAAATACTGAAACATTTGGTTAAGTTCAGAAATATTCTATATGGTGAAAAAGTTCAATGGGTGGGGTTAGGTAAAATAGTTAAGGGGGTTAATGTAATTTCATAACACTATCTCTTGATCTCTCTATATAAACATCTTAGTTGAGACGATTATTATTATCAAAACCACAAAACATATACTTAAAAAAAAAAACTAATTAGAGAATGGCACTGGATGGTGTTTTAACTAGAGAGTTTGACGTTGAGTCTCCGGTGGACAAATTCTTCAAAGCTTTCCTCGAGATCTCGAATCTCCCTGTTGAAGACAACGGTAACGATCTTCTCCATTACCTAAAATCTCATTCCATTCATATATATAATTTATTAAGCAAAACCTAATTACTTTTTGTTTCATCAAAGCGACGGCCGTGGTGACTATGGACGATGGGGATTTGGAGAAGAGAAAGGTTAAGATAAAAATAAGCAGCGTTGATATCTCGAAGTGCTACAAGAAGCTAGAAGGAATCATCACCGTTACTCCTATGAATAAAGGTGGTAGCCACGTGATATGGACCGTCGAGTACGAGAAGACCCGTCCTGAGATCGAAGACCCGCACTCCATCATCGACACTTCTATCAAGTACTTTCAGGGAATCGATGCAATTCTTGTTAAGGAGAGGGATGAGAAAATTGTTAAGGAGATGTCCGAGGAACTTTTTAAATTTATTCGTAGATCCATAATTAAGTCCAATAAGGTCCTCAAATGATTCAGACACCCCAAGGTAAGACTTATTTCTGGATCTACGTAGTTATATATCTAAGCTTACTGCAATAATTATCATTTAATTAATAATGGATGTCATTTACGATGTGTTTTTTTTTTTTTTTGCCAAACATTTACGATGTATTTACTCATGAAGCTTTCAATATGCGTTAAATAAAATTTTAACAATCGATTGTAATAAAAGGGTTCAACTATGCCACGTTTTGTCAAATGGGTAATTAACTGAGATATGTGTGATATGCAACTCTTCATTACATACAATAAAAATCAAATGGGCAAATTAAGCAACTCTTAAACAAGCCAATCTGGTTAGTTTTGTTCTAAGAAACGAAATGAATGATCAAGACTCAAGAGTGATTTAAAAATACCAAACATAAGAATATAAATCTACATGATATAAGAAAACCAATGGAAATATATATAGATATCGTCAAATACATATCTATAAATTAAAGCTTTCAGAGCTAAAGGTTTTGACTTCTTGAGTAACAAATCTCACATACTTTTTTAGTAATTACTTTAGTTTTATCCAAAGGGACCATCAATTTTTTCTTTCAAATAATGAAAATTCATTAAATGATTTTTACATATGTTTGAAACGTAAGTTACTGATTTTAATATTTACAAATATTTTCTTGAGCCAGTTTTTTAATAATTAAGTACTATACTTTCTGTAAAATTGAAATTTGCTAAGAATGTTTTTATTTGCAATGTATCAATTATTATTTTTAATTCTTTTAGAAATTTAAATTAAAATTGGTATTCGAATATGTTGAGTGATCACTTGAGCATTAGCTGGTATTTATTAGACTAGTCAAAACAATTATCATCTCGCCAAATTATATATTTCCTCTTAAAAAGTAAGAAAATATATTATTTGCTTATGGTTTAATTCACTACAAGAAAACAAGGCTCTTTTCGACGAATTTTCTGACAGCAAAAAAATGATCGGAAATTTTTGACGGTTTTCCGATACTATTCTGTCGGCTTTCCGACGACAGTCCTCCCGTCGCAAATCCGTCGAAAATTTCCGACGGATTTTTTTTGGTCGAAACTTCGTCAGTAATTTCCGACGACATTCCGATCAAATTAAATTCGGCGACGTATTTCCGACGCCATGCCTACGATTTCTTCTGTTGGAAATAGCCTCTGTTCTTGTAGTGTTTGAGAGGTAATGGCTAAACTAAGTCGATGAAATAATTTGGCTATGCACAAATATTCTTCGAGGTAGGTATATTCACTTTAATTTAACATATACATTTTGCAGAAAAAAACAATAGATAGTCATTAACGCACCACACCTAAGTATTGCCAGTTTTAGTTAAAAGATTGATGAACACAATTACACTAAGTCCCATCTCCAACAGAACGATCACTTTTGCTTTCACTCATCGGTTCTCTCATACATATGCTTTCAAACAAGGATAATAAGAAGATTGAAGATTCATTTACGTAACCTACTTTTCTTAGTTCGAGTTAAAGAATTTGTGTTTTGTTATTAATTATTTTATGCAATTAAGGTGCACATCTGTGTAACTGTGTTAAAAGTTTATTTTATTATATTAATCGCTGTAACATGAAATAATTAGACATCAAAGTGGGGTTGGCTTACCATTTACCAACGGAGAATATAACTAGCCAAAAATCGGGTTGCTAAATAGTTAGAGGTAGCTCAATTTATGTAAGTTGAGTGACTTGGTGTAAATATTGATATTTGGAATAACATTCATTAGTAAAACCCATTTTAAGTTCGTAACATTCACATGGGTTTTATGATCATATTTTTCTGATAATGCATTTCAAAAAAAAATCAATTACGTAAAACACTTGCTTGATTAGAGTTAATTGATTCACTGGGCTGATGAAATTAATTTGGCCCGCACAATTTATTTGGTGGAAAAGATTTTACAGAGCGGAAAAGTTTGGTGGTGGGGTAAGGTAAAATTAATTAATGTAATTGTCATAAAACTCTCTATATATGAACACCTGCATTATATGTCTAGATTTAGGCTCTCTCGTATAGAACGGGAACTGAAGTGGCAGTTAGGTACGTTTTTTTTGGTTTTGAAACGACATGAATTTCGAAAAGAAAATGTGAAAACGGCATACTTTTAATTAAGACGAAAACAATCAACGCCCATGTCTCTTTAGATACTGAAGCGCCACTGTGGATGAGTTGGCAAAACACATGCAAGTTATGGGTTGCACTTTGCATGCGTTTTCTCAATTAATTTTGGATGATTTGACTAAACAAATAAACAACTGTTTGCAACAAATCCATGACTGATGTACTATCAAATAAATTCATATAGTATATATACGGTTTCTTAACCCATATACTGTTTTAACAACAAAAAAAAACATACATATTATTCCACTTATAAATATACATTATTGTTTTAGGTTCAAGTGTATACTGTATAATATACGTTTATACTTGCACAGTTTTTTTTTTTATTGTTAAATATACTGGCATATATATGCACGCTAGTTTTTGATATAATGGGAAATGATGAAGTGGATGATGAGAGTTAATGGACGAAAATCTATGCAAATTTGAAATTTCGTATGCGCAAATACAAGTTGAAGTTTATGGTAAAACGCATGCTCGATATAGGAAATAGTTTGATTCACACATGACACAACCCGACAGATCGGATCGAGAAAAAGCATGTCTTGCATTTTTCTCATAATATTTTGAGATCATTTAGCAAAAAAATGTCTTAAATCATTTAGGCTTTGAAGTTTATGGAGTGAACAAAACATGTGGTTCTCAGTTGTCACTGCTCACCAAGTAATTTATTTAATAACGAAAAAGAGAGAGCCATGCATGCAAAGGAACGTTTTGTGTACAGGCAATGATCGGACAAACCGGAAAAAGGCCGTAGACCCAACGAAGCCTAGATATGTGGCCCACGTGGAGCAAAACAAACCACGTGGATTAGGCCACGTCACAACAGACCCGGTCGTTATTGGTCACTGCCCCTCTGTAACATTTCTGTCTCTGTTGATCTCATCAAACGCAAACGCACTCTCTTGCTATCATCAACTAACATATTCTAATGTCACTAGCGTATATTTCTGGTTTCTTTAAGACATTTCATAGTTGTTTTATAATTTCAATCGGTGATAGATGACGTAAAAAAAATATAAAATATGTGTTTTAATTTCCCTATCAAAAACAAACTATGGGTTTATAAATCATAGTTCTTGTATATATTCATTTTATCATAAAAGAAATAATTGAAGGTATTTAATGTAGGTTATTGGCAAAAATAAAATAATATTACAAAATTATAGTAAATCAAAATTATAATTGTACATTTGTACTATATGATTTCAAACTAATTAAGTTAATAACCGGTACATTGTATCAAATTTAGCGACAGTATCTATTACTCTCATATTTGTTTCATAATCACTGCTCACGGCAAATGGACAAAGAGATCGAGCGTGTGGAATGTGGATATAAACGATCATCAACGACAACAACGAAAACATATATTAAAAAAACTCTTATTTTATTTCATTCAAAATAAATAGAAAAGAAGTACAAAAAATGAACAATAAAAGCCACAAAAAAGATAGACAAGAAGACTTGGAACTATATAAATATATGGACCACCCTCACGTCCAATGCATCACAACTCAATTTTAATAAGTAAAAAGGCAATGGAAGAGTCACGATCATCCCACAGAAAGGAGAGGATGCAGACGAAGAAGAAAACGGGTCGTGGGTCAGGGTCAGGATCCGGGTCGATACAGATAAAGATGAGGAAGCTCCGAGTGCTGATACCGGGTGGGCGAAGATTGAACCAACCGGATCTGCTTCTATCAAAGACTGCTGATTATATTATGCATTTGGAGTTGAGGATTAGGTTTTTCAAAGCCCTCTCCAATATCTACTCACTCTCTTAAAATCGATTCTTGTTTTGTTTGATTATTTTTTTGGATTCTTCATCTTCTTTTCTTCTGGTTATTCTAAACCAATTGATATCTGTTTTCATCACAAACTGTACGTAGAAGATTTACTTTGTATGGAGTTTTTCTCTTATGATTTAGTGGTAAAGTTTGTTAGTTGGGCCTCAATTAGCAAAGATGATCATATTTGGGCCCTTATAGCCCATGAAATGTTACGTAGATTCTCTCAAAGTGGTGATGACAGGCTTTTTCCCTTTATTTTACCGATTCCAAATTCCAATGCTCACAGTCTCGAAACTTTTTAAAACCATTAGTCGACATTTACCATGTGATTAAATATTAATAGTTACCTCCAAATTCAAAAAAAGAGTACTACTCCATTTTTTTACTATTTTGTTTTTTGTTGCTTCAGTTTGTTTAATACGAGAGTCCCTAGATATTGAAAATATACTGACACAAAAAAAAAATAGTACTACTATTTAACTCCGACTTTAGTTGAGTGATTCTCTACAGAAACTAATGCCAACGAACGATGAACGATTATTGTGGATTGTTCCCGTTTTTCGTTGTTATTTAACGACCTTCATACCTACCACTGGATAATTAAATGTTGTGTTATTAAGCTATTGGATAATTACAAAAAAATTAACATAATCGGAAAAAAAAATTCGAAATTGCTATGCTAGGTACCAGATCCCTGAATTAAGCATTGGGCTCCACACCAAAAAAAAATATCAATTTTTTCCAATTTTTTAAAAATGTTGGTGACCTAATTTGAGACTGACCCTGCTTAATAACTCCATAATCATTTAATTAAAAATATGTTTATGTAATGACGGTATAAGCTCTCTCAGTCTCTGGTTTTGCCAAAATCTGTTTAGCAATCATTATAGATTCCGAAATTCTTGCTACATATCTTTTGACTCTTAAGTCAAGAGTTTTTTTCTTTTTGAGGGTTTATGATCAAAATTTGAGAGTGTTCTTAAGTTAAATGGTGTCTCTGTTTTTCTTCATCAAAACTAAAAAATGTCAGAGAGGAAGATTCATAATTTCCAGCTCCAAAACGAGAATTTGAATCAACAAATCTCGCCTTCTCCTTCTCCAATCACCGTGAATCATCAATCAAACACTTCTTCTTCTTCCTCCGGTGGTGATAATCGAATAAGCCCCATCGTTCTCTTCATCATCGTTCTCTTATCCGTAATCTTCTTCATCTGTAGCATTCTACATTTATTGGTTAGATATTACTTAAAGAAGAAAAGGTCCAGTCTTTCTTCATCACCAAACGAATCTGATCAAAACCCAGAATTTTCCGACTCCGATACTTACCAAAGACAGCTTCAACAGCTTTTTCATCTCCACGATTCAGGTCTAGATCAAGCTTTAATCGATGCTCTTCCTGTGTTTCTTTACAAAGAGATCAAAGGTACGAAGGAACCTTTTGATTGTGCAGTGTGTCTTTGTGAATTCTCGGAAGATGATAAGCTGAGATTGCTTCCGAATTGTAGTCACGCTTTTCACATAGATTGTATCGATACTTGGCTTCTCTCGAATTCGACTTGTCCACTTTGTAGAGGAACCCTTTTCTCTTTAGGTCATCAATTTGAATACCCGGATTTCAATTTCGGGTTTTTCGCCGGAGATGATGGAGGAGTTAGGGTTTCTCCGGTGCAGAAACCAGCTGAGAATGAGATTGGGAAGAGAGTGTTTTCAGTGAGGCTTGGTAAGTTTAGGAGCAGTAATATTGTCAACAATGGTGAAGTAGTAGTAGGAGGAGGAGAGACAAGTAGTGGGTGTGTGAGCAGTAGTAGTCTTGATAACAGAAGATGTTTCTCAATGGGGTCTTATCAGTACATAGTGGCTGAATCAGATCTGGTGGTGGCTTTGTGTCCTAATAATGAAGGATTGAAGAATGTGAAAGAAGGAGAGAGTATTAATAAGGATGTTGAAGGGAAGAAGATTAACATGAGAAGTAAAGGTGAGAGCTTTTCTGTGTCAAAGATTTGGCAATGGTCTAATAAGAGATCAAAGTTTCCTAATAATCATCCATCAGAAACCAATCTTGTGGTTGGTGGTTCTTCTTCTTCTTATGCTTGTTCTGGATCTGGGAGTACAGTTACTGCTGGGTTAGCATTGAATGGAAGAAGATTTCAGGGTCCATGAGATTAAAGGGTACAGATCAGAGAGGGTAGCTTAATTCTGCCATTGATTTAATTGAATTATTTGATTTTGAGTTTTGGTGAATTCTTTCTGGTTTAACACGATACTGTAGTGTTCTTTTGTGTCCTCTGTAGCTGAATCTCTTTGTGTATCGAGGGGAATAAGCTTTTGTTCTTTGATGATGTTATAGTGATACACTCTTATATGGGATGTTTCTAGTTCTAATCAAACTTTGTTCATAATCAGTTGAGAAAGTTTGAAGAAGGTGAGATTCTGAGATGGAACCTCTAATTTGCACCAACTTTTTCTTGATTTTTAAAGCTGTATGTTTTGTTTAAAGATTAAACTAGTTTAAAACTTTACAGATAAAAGAAGATTATTTTTGTGGGACAAATATTTAAAAATGAAGTTTTTTAAAAAGTGAAGTCAAATATATAATTTTCTTTGGTGGGGTTGTAAACTTTTAAAGAGTATCCAAAAATGGGATGGAATCATTATTGGCAGGGGAAATAATGATGACCCATAATTTGTATTATTCTCCAAAAAAAGCATTCGAGTGAGTTAGGTGAGGAGAACTCTCACGATGATCTCCAAAGTCGCCTTCTAAATAATTACGTCACGATGATCTCTCAAGTCACAAGTTGTCTTCAAAATCATATCAAACCAAATCAAATGAACATTCACTATTTGGTAAAATCATGTACAACACATGTTTGCATGCCTTTATGTCGGTACGAAGCAGTTTCTATCGGAGATTTATAGGTTTGATCAAGCAAACCTTGTAATAAATTAATTTCAAAAAAAAAAAAAACTTGTAATAAATGCAAACTACGACATGATCCAATATCCAAAATCTGGAGAAAAATAATCAAAGTAGATGAGATTCTGAGATGGAACCTCAAAATTGCACCCTTTTTTTTGTAATTAAAATTTAAGTTTTAAAGCTCTACGTTGTGAAGTTTAATGGTTGGATACTTGGATGTGTGAGTCTTATTAAAAAAACGAAAAACATATTTCATTCATTATGTATGGGTTCTAATCATAAATCAGATTTAAGTTGAGGCCCATAAATGAATAGTTAGAATTCCAAAAAAGTTAATTCACTTCAATATAACATGTATCGGCATAACAAAAAAGAAAAGCATCCAACATGCACCACGAGGAGAAGGAGAATATGACGACGGAGGAGGAATCTGTTTCGGCGGTGGAAGAGGGTTACAATGTACATAGAGACTATTGGCGTCAAGCGGCGGAATCCGATGTAATTCTTTCATCTTCTTAATCATCTGTTATCTATGATTGTGATTTGTTCCTTTTGTTTCACAAAATTAACCCTAAACCTGAGTTCTTAAAAGCGATTCTAGACAACAATTAGAGGAAATTATTAATCGCTTGTAGGGTTGTTTATGGACTGATAGATTGTTTTTGGTGATGGATCTTAGGGTTTCGATATAGAGAACGTTAAACTACCACCAGGTATGAATGGAGTGGTCATTGGACTGATATCCTTCGACTGTCAACGTTATAGTTTTTATCCGTATCCTATCTTGGTCAACCTTTTTGCTAAGGTTGGGCTTCATCGTTACAATTTGTTCAAGGTAAGATATTTAAACTCTTTGTCTCCTCTAGTTGATACGTTTATAAAAGTGCTCTGTTATATATACCAAATATATATTGATTGATTGGATTTTCTCCTTAGGGGACAAGCTTCGAGCTCGATGCCCTAATGAAATTCAACATGTTACAGAACTATATGTCCTCTTTTTACATCACTCTGCTTGCACACGATTCAGATCCAGCTGCTAGCTCATTGCAGAAAACCTTTCAGGTTCGAGTTGATGAACAAGATTATGGCACTTTGCATATAACGTGCTCCATTGCTAGACCTAAAGCCGAAGGTGACTTGCTTGTGGTGCATTATTTTCTTTTTATATTTTTATGAGAATTTCACTTAGCTTGCTGATTAATAATGAATGTTGTATAGTGTCCACCGAGACGCCCTTCAGACCTCACTTTCATGGTGGCGCACTGGCCGATGGTATCTTCGAAGGTGATTTGCCTGATTGGCCCTCAGATGATGCTTTGAATGACAGAAAACGATTTTATGTGGTAAGAAGTCCTATATGTTATGACACAGCATTAAAAATTAAGTTTTGTTGTGCTCATGATCAATTGATATGTTGTTATTGCTTTTGCAGGTGAAGGAATCAGAGTGGCAAGCCACTGCTTGGATTTCTATGTATTTGGAACTTGTAATTACTACAACTGATAGGTCAATCTCTGGAGTAAGTTTTACCTATATATCAATTAATGACATACCACCACGAGTGGCACTAATAATAATAATAATGATGAACTCCAAAATTGTAGTGTCGTAAGGCGACGACAGAAGTTCTCTCCAAGTTGGAGATTGTGAAAGTTGTGGTAGAAACTGCTAATGAAGATGTGGAGCCGCCGAATGAGAGACTCAAGGCCAAAAGTGTACATGTCTACATAACGTTTAAGGGCTTGGCAGAGCCTCAAGCCCCTCGGCGGATTTTTGAGAATGGTGAGCATGTTGAACGCCAAGCTATAGTTAGAAGAGTCATGGATCATACAGGAAACTTGACTCTCGAGGGTAAGCTTTGTGGTGGTCAATATATCAAAAAGCGTTCTCTGGCTCTCAAGAGTCGAAAAAGTCCTAGAATGGTAAAAAGCAAGCCGGCTAGGGTTCCGTATATATGGGAGTCTGCGTAATGTTAAGATCTATTTGAAAATGTGGATCAGATAATAATCTAAGCTATTTTGTGTGTTTGAGTTCTTTGATTTTTGGTTTCTTTTCGGTGTGTTAAGCTTTTTTTGTAATACAATAAGTTAATCTATCTGCAGTGTATTATTATCAATAGGAGGATCATTTTGTTTTCCTTTTCATTTCCCATTTATTCCTAGACAAATCCCTACATCTGAACGAACCCAGGAATCTACCACCACAACCACGTCAAGGAAGGTATCATAACGACAAATTGAAAACCCAAAGAGATTAATTTGTTTATCAAGTGATAATAAGGAGCCTGAATGCCAACAAAAACTTGTACGGGCAGAAAGACAAAAATACTCTGTTATACCAATAGTGGCAGAGAGAATCCTTTGAGAGAAATTGACCAGTAGTGGTACTCTTATATGGATATTTCTTGGTCTAAATCAAACTTTGTTAATCAGTCACAAATTTTAAGAAAGTTTGATGAAGATGAGATTCTAAGATGGAACCTCTAATTTGCCCAACTTTTCTTGATTTTTGAAGCTGTATGTTTGTTTAAAGATTAAACAAGTTTAAAACTTATCAGATAATAGAAGATTATGTATTTGTGGGACAAATATTTAAAAATGAAAGCTTTAAGAAGAGAAGTCAAATATGTATATTATTTTCTTTGGTGGGGTTTTAGACTTTTAAAAAGAGTATCCAAATATGGGATGGAATCAATTATCGGTAGGGGAAGATAATGATGACCCATAATTTGTATTATTCTCCAAAAAGAGCATTCGAGTGAGATAGGTGAGGAGAACTTTCACGATAATCTCCGAAGTGGCCTTCTAAATAATTACGTCACGATGATCTCTCAAGTCAAAAATTGCCTTCAAAATCATATCCTCCCAAATTACATGAAAATTCAGTATGTGGTAAAAAACATATACAACACATGTTCGAATGTCTCTAAATATGTTAACAATTTCTATCAAAAAAAATTGTTGGACATGATCTAATATCCAAAAAAAATTTGCAAGTCGAAACTGTAACTGTAGTATATACATCATTGGTTATGAATCAAATCTCTTTCAAAGCCTCATAGACAAGAGAGACATATTCTACTTCCCATTCCAAACATCTGATCTTTTGTACAAAAAGAAACCCCAAGAACCCCAAATCCCAAACCCCAAAGCCGAGAGTACTTGTTTCAAGAAACGGATGAAATAAATTGGAAGGAGAAAGCCGGTTTTGCTCCATCAACGGATTGGGCAAGACTTTTCTTTCCTTTTTAGTGGGGTTGATATCTTGATGAAGATAAACACTCAAGTCCTTATGCTGAAAAGACAATGGCTGATCGGTCAGTTTCACAACCCGCGAGGGAAGTTGCTGACTTGTCCTTCCTCTAATACATCTTTTTCGTTCAGTTTTTACCCAATCCTCATGCGCATCACATGGGATTTTTGCCATAAACATTAAACCATTTGAGTGCTAACTACTAAGTCACTGAATCCACATGCTTAGCGTATCCATGTTTGAGCATATATTATGTTGTGGATCATCAAGTGCTATACTGTGGTCTTTTGTGTCTCTGTAGATGAATCTTTTTTTTTTTTTGTGTTTGTTCAGGGGAATAAGCTTCTTCTTTGATTACGTTATATGGGATGTTTCTGTTAATCCCTAGTTCTAATCATACTTTTTGCTAAATTTTCAAAATTTTTGGACAGCATGTTTCTTTCTCTGTACGATTAGCTTTATGTTCATAAAAAGTCATAAAGTTTTGAGAAAATTAATCTGAGTTTGTTAGTTTGAAGTAGATAGGATTCTGATGGAACCTCAAAATTGCACAATATCTATCTACTAAGGCTTTGATTGGTAACATGAGTTTTATCATTGAGTTAAGTTGAGTTGTGGACATAACTCATAGATAATTCAAAAATGTTATGATATAAGACTGGAGTCTTATTGATCACAAGATGTCAAGAGTTGACCAGCTTTCATGCGGAAAAGGGCGTTGGTATAGAGATGGAGATGGAGTTTGCGATTGATTCCTCAATCACACACGAACAAGAAGGCTTGATTCCACAAGCAATCAGATCCATAAATCAATAGAAAAAAAAAAAATTCCACAGTTATTAGATTCTAAAGACAAGAACATGAAAGAAAACAAACTTCTATTAAATTAATGATAATGTGTGATTTACAATGAAATCGAAACTGAGATTTTATAGGCTCATAGAAAAAGGTCTTAAGAAGCTAAAACAGAAAAAATTGCAAACATTAAAGAATAGAGCCATTGGAGCTTTGATGACAAATCTGGCCAAATAAGAAAATTGTCTTGAGCTTTGTATCTAAACAGCTTGGGGAGGTACGTGCGACTTCTTGGGAAATTATGGAAGCAATTCAGAGCTTGGAAGCAATTCAGAGCTTCTAGTTCGTTCCCAAACATAAAGGAAACGAGCCGTTGCAATGTGAACACCTTAAACGAAAATGGCTCTAAATAAGGTAACTCTTGGGGATGAGGTTTGCGGAAGCTGGGGAAACTACTTGGAAGTCTCTTTCTATTGGAGAAGGTCTCAATATCGTGTATAGACTCCATAAAAGGAAAGAGCTGTTGTGAAAACTCCTTTATTGCTCCTAGTGTGAACACGTCCAAACAAGGAAAGTGTAAGTGTGAAAGGATCCGCCTGATCCTATGGGTGCTGGTGCATGGAAAGACTTCTTAAAGATTTTTAAGAGTGTCTCCTGGTAGCCAATAATAGTTTTGGGATGAACCAAATATGGAAAGATCCATTTTTGGTAACATATAGACCGTGGGTAAGGCCAAATATGGGCAATTCCTAAACCAACTCGAACCAAGGGTGATGTGGCTCGATCAATATGCTCTAAATGGTTGATTTGCTGAATAATCCAAGATTAAATTGACGAGTGGATTCTCTAAATTGCAACTTAGCTTGCTCACGAACATGTCTCAGAAAGCTCACATGACAATCTCTTGAATTACTCCTATGATGGGTAAATATCTCTCGATTATTCTTTATAAAATAGTCATGTTGCTCATGAATCTTAAAGACCACATCAAATTGACGGATGGTTTGATACTTTGACTTTGACATGTGGTTCCATGAGCTTGATCGTGGTATGGTTGGAAAGAAGCTTCATGAACCATCTTTACTTTTGGACGTCTTTATTTGTTTCCGATGGGTCTTAATAAAATATCCATGATATCGGTGAATCTAAAATATAGTTCGAGGAAACGTGACGTTGGGTTGATGGTATTGAAGTCGTCTCGATCTGGATGGTTTTTTTTGGCGTTTAGATTGATTGGCTCAGTAGTTTTCGATTTTGTCTCAACCAAAAGTCTTTAAATATGTGACTTTCTGGTGAATCTTCAATTTGGGTCGGCAATAGTCTCCATTGGGTCGTTGGATTGGAGCTTGGTGTGATCCGGGTGAGTTTTCGTGGACCAACTTCGATTTGGTATGGTGATTTATAATTCCAGCTGAACCATTAGTCTTCTTAGAATGTATTTCTATGGAAATATCAAATCCTAAGCCAGTTTCTTCTCATGTGTTAGAGTTGAGTTATTAAATTTTTTAGTTTTTGTTTGTTTTTATTTAATTTTAACTTTTATATATTTATTGAAACATACAGAAATTATAGCTTTATATATTTACGAGTGTACTGTGTAGAGCTCATTAATATTTACTTTTATTTAATAGAGTATCATTTTTAATCTTTTATTTATTAAATTTATAAAAAATGTTTTTATTATTAATACTTTATATTTAATTTATTTTTAATAACATATACTGCAAATAATACATCATAAATGTTACCCGTCATTTTTTTTAAGAAAAATATTTACTGTAATCGTACCATATAATTTTTACTGTAAATTACATCAAATTTTAACATCTACTGCAACAATCACTTTTTAAAAAACTGCAACATTCTCTAATTAAAACATGTACAAGAGATCTGATATATCAACACCAGAAATTTTCCATTATTTTTACTTTATGATTTACTTTGGAAAGACAGTTTTCTCAACCTATCCACTCCACGATCTTTTCATATTCTAATTAATAACTTCCACAATTTTATCAGAAAAAATAACAACCTTTCACAATTTCTCTCTAGCTCCACTCTCTTTTGCAAGTCGTTTAGCAATTTAATTTATAGTCATTTCGCAAGTCATGTAGTAACTTCAGTTACAATTTAGGGTTTCTTAAAAAAACTTTATTTATTTATTTATTTCATGTAGTATTAATGTTTCTATGGAATTAATTTCTAAGATGGGTATGAAATTCCGCAGTCAATATCTTATTTGCGTAATTTGTGTGCTCTCACAACCAAGATAACAATGACATAAATTTGTTACACTGCCATCTTCTTATTATCAAATACCAACTCCGTAATTTATTGACCAAATAAAACTCCTTAACTTTTTCCATTATTTATACTTTCCATTGCTCAAAACTAAATTAAAACATGTTGTAATTAATATATGAGTTTGCCTCTGCATAGGAAGGGTCACAACGCTAGTAAGTAGTAAGAGACAAGTGGGTGTGTGAGTCGAAGGAAGTGTCCGATTATTGCCTGACGCCTTTAAAAAGGAAGAAGAAAAAAGTATCAACGTATTAAAAAGAGAAAAACGTATTTTCATTCATTAATGTATGGGTTTGTTTCGGAAATCAGATATGAGATTTGGGTTGAGAAGGCCCAACTGAAGCCCATAAATGAGTCCGATAAGGGCATATACTTATATCGCCTGGATCCCAACAAAAACCCATCACCATTCACGACGACGGCGAGGAGGAGGAGAAAATGGCGACGGATGAGGAGTTTTTCAGATTGCAGAGAGAATATTGGCGTCAAGTCGCGGAATCGGATGTAATTCTTTCATCTTCTTAATTACTGTTTAGAGAATTTATCTATAACTGTGATTTTTTGGATTGTTTGTGTTTCACGAAATTAAACGTTTCTAGGGTTGGTTATGAACTGATTGAAATTTTTTGCTGATGGGTCGGTCTTAGGGTTTCGATATAGAGAATGTTAGAGTACCGGATTCTATGGTTGGAAAGATTGCTGGACTGATTCCCCACGACTGTCTGCGTTATAGGCGTTTTCCTTACGG